CTCGTTCCCACTTTATGCTCAGTGTAATAGATCTCCACACTGATTTCAGATTTATGAAGGCCTGTCTTGAGTTTCCGATCCTGGCTTTGACATCTTCATCTGTGCCACCTGTGGTTGAAATGATGCTGCCTAGGTAGGTGAAAGAGACAACTTCCTTTAGGTTTCTCTCGTTGATGGTGATTGGTGTTCATTGTTGTTGTAGTTATTGGTTGGCTATCTTCATCACCTCTATCTTCTCCACATTCACCTGAAGGAAGTCCCATCTTCGTTGCCCTGTCTGTTCTGCCAACTTGTTGGTTTTCGCCTGTAGACCTTCGACTTTGTGCAACAGGACATTAGACATATTTCGTCATCGGCGCCGAAATCCAAATCTTTCAGGGTCTTTTTATTGGTCAAACAGCGTATTCCCATCTTCTCGCTCTTCACACTTTGTTGCATGATCCAGTCAAGTCGACCACAATCAGGAGGATGATCGGTGTAAGTAGGCGATAGGCTTGTCTTACTCCTGTCTTCCCTTCAAATGCGTCACTGAGCTTTCCATAGTGAATCACCTGGCATGTGGCGTCTTCATATAGCTGTTGAATGAGGTTGATAAGGGTTTGTGGCACTAAAACCGTAGTGTTGAAGCATTTTCCAAATTAGTTCTCGGTCAACGCTGTCGAAGGCCTTTTCGGAATTGATGAAGTAGAGGTAGACTTCAGTTGACTGCCATTCTACGCTCTGTTCTATGATGTTTAGTGTTGCAATTCGCTCCGCACGTGATTTGTTCTTTTTGAGGCCAGTCAGCCTGTTTTGGTGATAATTTTGAATGGATACCGTTTCTAGTCTCTTCAGGATGAAGCGGCTTAATATTTTGCTTGGGATAGACAGGAGCATGATTCCGCGCAGCTCCCTTCTTTGGGAGTTTGACAAGGTAGCCCTTCTTGCAATCGATCACCAGGTACCTTCCCTTCCTTCCTTCCTTCCAAACCTTCTGCAATAATGGCATCAGCATGTCCACTGATGTCTCTGACTCCCTTCCCAGTGATTCTGGTCAAATTACATCTGGTCCTCACCAACTTTATGGCTTTCAGGACTTCTGCCTTCGTCGGAGGGCTTGTGTTCATTTGTAATTCTGTGGCTGGACTGCTGGTGGTATTTGTGCACGAGTTGCAGGTGGTGGTGGTGGTGGTGGTGGACAATTCAAGAGATTTTGAATCGGTCAACCCATCGTTTCATTTGTTTCTCCTCTTTGCTAATTAAATTTTCTTCACCATCCTTTATTCGTTTCATCTGCCTTGATCTCTTCCATTCCAGATAGTAACTTGGTTATTTGATACAATGTTGTCAGGTCTCTGTCTCTCCTACCAGCAGCCTGTTCTGCTTCACTTGCGAGTGTGTCGTAGAAGTATCCTTTGTTTTTCCGTGCACTCTTCTTAACTTATTTGTCCAGTGTTTTTTCTATACATTGTACTCAGATCCTCTCCTCGTTGTGCATCCTGGCACTGCACTGGTTTATCTTCTGCTTCACCATCTTCCTCTTCCTGCTCTATCAGCTTCCATGTGTCCATCGAGATCCATTCCTTGTCTCGTTTCCTCTTCCTTCCTAGTGCGGTGATGGAGGTTTCTTTCGACACCTCTTTCAAAGAGTTCCAGTGTTCTTCCATGTAAGTATCTTCAGAGATGTTGCTCGACGTCTCCCACTCTGTCTTAATGGCTGACGTGAAGATGTCCTTTATAGTTTCGTCCTTCAGTGACGTTTCTTCTCTGGGTGTTAAAATTGAACTGTGGTCTATCACAAACTTCCTTGAAGGCTTTTAACTTGATTTTGAAGGTAGGTTCATTGCATTAGACAGCGAGTGAGTGGTGTTAACCTACATCTGCTCCCCTTCTTGACCTAGTGTCAAGTAAGCTGCGTCTCCACTTTCCTCAGATTGAGATGAAGTCAATCTGATTTTTAGTGTATGCATCTGGTGAAATCAAATCCGTGTCGCTTTGTGGTATCCTTGTGCTTGAACACAGTGCCTCCAATCACCAAATCGTTGGATGCACAGAATTGTGCAAACAGTTCTCTGTCCTCATTCATTTCACTGAGTGCTTCTCGATTCATGGTTAGTTCTCTTCTTGTGTTGTCCGCTCCGAGTTTGGTATTCATGTTGCCACATCCATTAGAATTTTGATGTCGCCAACTGGAGTCTTATCTAGTACTGATTGCAGTTGTCTGTAGAATTCCTCCTTTTTCTCTTCATCTGCATTATTTGTAGGTGCGTAGTGAAGCATTGAATGACTGCGACTTTCTTTCCTTTTGAGTTGAATCTTGCTATCATGATCCTGATCCTGAAGGAGACTGGTTCCCCATGCATGAGAGTCTTGAAAGTTCTTGGGGAAATCATGATAGCCACTGGCTGGGTGTGCTTGTGGTTTTTGTCTGGTTGACCGGAGTAGATTATCGACTCTCCAGTTAAGAGTTTGGAGAGTCCACTTCCATCCCACCTGCCTTCGCAGATTTCAAGCGCTTCCATGCCATATCTTCTAATCTGTTTGGGAATCTTGTCAGCCTTGGTAGGTTCAAGCATAGTGCGGACATCCATGTCCCCATCCTTACTTTCGCTTTCATCGAGAGAAGAAGAGACATATCGGCCAGCTGGCTTCCCGAAGGCCTTCACCAACCGGCGTCATTCCGTCTCTCCGATTCCAGCGAGGAATAAGTTTTTTTAATTTTTTATTATTTCTTTGTGCTTTGAAGTTTCTGTAGCGATTGGATTGGTTTTACGAGGTAGGGTTGCTAGCCCTATGCCGAACCTTCCCTCTTTATCTGGGCTTAGGACCTGGCTAGTAACTAGTGAACTAGTTAACCTGGCGAAGTTACTGAGGATGTTTACAGCATCTTTATGGTATACATTTGCATTCCTAAGCTACCTTTTTTTCTGTTTATATTGTGTTTTTCTCGATATTATTTTATTTCAAGATACCATTTCTGATATCTCTGAACTCTAGTTATCAGGAACTTTCAAATATAAGGTTGGTGTTCATTATTACTCTTCTTTTGTCTTCATTTAAGCTTGCTGACCTTTATTTTTGACTAGTTCTTCTAGAATACTTCTTCGTGACTAATCACATTACCTCTCAAAACATAAGTTTTGAATACACAAGTTCTGTTCTGCCAAAAGAAGTTGCTGAACAAGTAGGAGAGATTTATCCACCCAAGCACACCTGATAATGTTTAAAAGTGGAAAGTGGTTAAAGTCACTTCTCTATATGACCAGAAAGCTGGTGATTAACTGCTAAGTGGTGAACACCTCGGTGATAGAACACCTTCACAACTTTAACTCCATATGAAAAGTATGTTGAGAGATAGGAACTTAGACAACCATCTATCCTTTCAGCTTTTGCCACACAAACTCCCTTCAAGTATTCAAACAGTATTAGCTTTTGTGGATGCAGATACTGAGATTGATAGACTGACCGACATTGTTGGTCGCATATACTCAAGGATGCCTAAACAGGTGGAAGTAGCTGTTGAACCAACACAAAACAAACGAGTAGCCATCCTAGAGACGAAGGTTGACATACTAACAGGATAACTGACAGCATTACAGTTATGCAGACCTAAAGTTCTGCAGAAGTAGGTCCTTCAGTCACGATAAAACTACGTCACTGTCTGTTGCCGTTTGATTCTAAAACCTTTATTTACAGAGGAGTGGAGAGGCTGACGGTCATTGACAACCAATTTTGTTGGCGTACAAAGACGCAGTCGCTTATTTCAGGTGACTGATAAGAAGACAAGGGCCAAGTTTCTGATTGATACGAGCTAAATTGAACCTAATTTCACCCACAACTTCCAAAGCAAACCTTAGTGCTCCAAGAAGTGGACAGATGGGATATTACCACAAATGGAACCGTAGTTTCGACTCTGGAATTTGGTTTTCATGCACCACTTTAGCTGGAATTTACTGTTACTGATATCTCATCGCTTATGTTTGGTGCAGATCTTCTTCAACACCATGGGATGTTGCCTGAATGTAGTCGACACAGACTGTTTAGACGTCAGTATTATATCACGGGTATCTTTACTGGCACAGAAAGAATAAACTTGGTAGTAGCTTCAATAAATAATATTTTCACCTGCTAGGTACTACAACAAGAATTTTCTGAGCTCACGCGAACGGACTATACGAAGTCGTATCTGAAAGACGGTGACACCCGCTGCTTCATGACAACCTTGATGCACAGTATCCAAAAGATTACAGAGAGCAAGGTGAGAATTCGATAAGCTTCTAAGGCTGGGAGTTATGCAGCCTTCCAAGAGTCCATGGTCATCAGCTCTGTACATGATTCTCGAAAAGACATCAGGTGAAGTGCAACCCTATTGTGATTATAGAGTATTGAATAAGCATATGACAGCTGACGAAAGTGATTCTCTTCTCCAAGACTGATTTCTTGGTCCCATGAAACCCGATAACGTTTCTAAAACTGCATTCACAGCTCCCTCTGGAATATTTCAATTCATTCGTTCGTCATTTGATTTGACAAATGCTGCTCAAACCTTCTAAAGATTTATGGATCAGGTACTTGTCAATGTATATATAGACGACATACATCTGAAAGAGAACACCTGCAGCACCTAAGAACACTGAACGACTACGTCTATATGGAATGAAAATCGACCTGTAGAAAAATAAAACTGGATGAGAATCATTATAGTTTCCGGGACACATAGTGGATCGGGATGGTATTAAACCACTTCTATAAAAAGTAGATGCAATTAGAGACCACTCTGTTCTAGACTCTTTTCGAAAACTACGCAGAGTCCCTACGTTAATTAATTTTTATCAGCGCTTGATGCGTAACTGTCCTAAATCACCTCAACCACTAACAGATCTGTTGCAACAACCAGCAAAATTTTTTCAAATAACTTAAGTGGCCATTGATATGTTTGAAAAACTGAAGCTTACTCTAAGTCCTAAAGCTCTTTTCTCGTCGTGATTCAGAAACACCATTAGCAATTATGAGATTCTTTTTCATGCATACAAAACAAAATATGGATTAACTTCAAAACTTTTGTTTTATTAAATATTTATTCACTGAAATCCCTGCTGTTTTCTTCTTTCTCATCATCCTCTTGCTCATCGTTTTCTTCATCTACTGTATACAGTCCACTAGGTTTCCATGACAACTTCTTCCGTTTCTTGACCTTTCCTCTTCCTTCCAGGCATGATTTTATGATTATTTTGTAGACTGAGGCAACTGAACCATAACAAGTTAAAATCCATATCAAAACTAGTAGAGCACAGAGTACGGCACCACATGCCAGACTAACAGAGACCATATTTTGTCGGCTTGCAAGGTAGATATCGAAATAAGATATACCTAAATCTGAAATAAGCAAAGAAGGATACATATAACTGTTTAATGTTTTTTTAATTCTTAAGTTAATGAATAAGAGGGATTTCTTTTCTAGTTTTATTCATAAGGGAAATATTTCGGTAGTAAATGACTCAGGTTGCCTTCTTACCTGTCAATTAACTTTGTACCTTATCTTCAGTTGCATCGTTGAGTTTAGTTGCTTATCGAGTGACTCTTAGAAGCGATATATGACATAGATGTATCGGGTTTTGATGCCCAAGTTAAACTAGATAAGATTTCAGAGGTTTAAGACATTATACATCACTCTTCCCAAGGCAAGTAAAACCTGAATGTGTATTAGGTTTCTACACTGTCCAATCTTTATGGTTGATTGGAGTGAAATTAAGATCTGGTCAGTAGCCCTGCTTTGATGCTTAGTTGGCAGAACACCGAGCCAGTAACTCGGAGGTCACTGCTTCAAATTCTACCGTGGCAAAGATTTTCATTTCACCTTCAACCATAGCCAAATATCAGTAAGAGAATAAATATTTTCGGGTCCTAACTGCCATAAATTGAAATAATGATGGTAATATTAGGATAAAAGATCTTTAAAGATTTTCTCATTCCTCCTAAAATTTCGTCAGATTTTCATAAACATTGCTTTTGGTTGAGTTTGTAATCCTTAATTTCGATTCAGATTCAAATTCAATATGCTGATGAAAGAAATGCGCTTATTTAAAGATTTCGGTTCAGTCACGTTTTCAAATGATCCTTTTGTAGATTTTGATCAGAGGTGGAAATCACATTGAGACATTACCTCACAAAAATTCATACACTCGTGGGGAATTATTTCTTGTCAATATAGTATATAGAAAGATAGCCTGTTGGATTGAAGCGTCTAGTTAAAACATGTCTAAAATAGAAAACGAGTGACTTTAAAGGCCACCCTAGCAACCACTGAGATGACCAGTCAGGCTTTTCTTTCCATAAAAAAACTACCTTTGTAGGTAAGACGTCTGAACCTGACTGGTTTATTTCAGCAGTTGCTAGAGTGATCTTTAGAGGTACTCTAGAAAAACATTTTTTGGTGCATAGGCTTATATTAATAGTTCATACAAAATTGTTGTCACAATAACACAATCTCATTTCCTTTTCTCGTATTAAATGAGAGAGATACTGAGATGAAGACTAAAGCAGACAATCCATGACAAAATTGTAATCATTGCTATCTGGACCAGAGAGTCTTTAATACCCACTCTAGTGACCACTCAATCAACCAGTTGCTTTTCTTTATTTCAGCTGGGAAGGTAATTTTTAAAATGATTATTTTAAATTGATTGGCTATTTCGGGGGTTATAACAGTGGCCTCTAGAGTCACACCTGTGTTACTAGAACGCTGGTGTTTGTCGTTCAAAGTTGCCATATATTGTTCATTGAAAACTAAGCTTAAAATTGACCTAACATATTTCTCTTCAGTGTAAAAGCCCACCACTTTAGACTTATTTGATCACATTGTCATTTGTACACTCTTTTGTTCACATAAATATGACTCAAATGACAAGTTTTATATGAACAAATTTAAAGTAAATTCTAGCAACAGATGAAATCACCAGTAGGGTTTAGATATTTATCTGAATCCCAGTCGGGATTAGACTGGGTGTTTCCACCAATATTTGTTCGCTAAGTGGAAAATTGACATTAGATACAGGTTGTATTTGCATAAATCTTAGCATCTTTCCAATAAGTAATTTCAACGTATGATCTGAGCTTCTTTGATGAAAATAAAATCAAAAGTTATATTGTGTTATTGGATATGAATATGAAGTCAGAGTTGTGCATTTCATCTCATTTTGCAATCCTGTTTGAATTACGATTGTATTTTTAACGTTACTGTTAGTTATTCATTGTATTATTAATGTATACGATTTACAAAAGTAGGCCGGTTTGTATGTATGTTTGAAGTGACTGAGTGATACTCAGACGATGAGATACTTGGACTGAATGCGAACAGCAATTGTTCTCCCATAGAGCCTTATAATTCACTGAGTCACGAAAATCATAAGACCTGTGACTGTGAAGAATATGATATATTTGAAGAAAAAACTTTCTTTATACACCATCTCCATGACCATATAAAACCACTACGTCAAAGTTAAACAACTTATTTTGATTGGCCAAATGTGGGATGAACTGTTCAATAAAACCTTTCTTGACTACGCAGCAACATGAAACAAAAAATTGAAATACGAAACTTCTATCTTAGTAGCTGTTGACTTGAAATATAGATTTCCATTTAGGTCATATCCCAAGAGTGTTGCTTTTTATTAATGAGCCACTACAAGATGACAAAGGTCAAAGGTCATTGCATGAAGAATTTGAACTTTTGGTATGCACTTAGAGTAAAAGCATAAATATATGTATATCATTCTCAACTGTAGGCGGGGTACAAAATGGACTAATGTTAATAGGTCTCGGTGTTTTGTTAGTATCCCATGTTTCAGCGAAATAAACTATAGTGATAGTGAAAGATGTTGATATCAACCATAGCGCATTGTTCGTCATAAATGATGATGATGATGATCATAAGATTAGGGCAAATATGATTAGAAAAGAAATAAAGCATTTTACAGCCAATGTCTTATATCTTACTTTATTCGTTAATCAGTACTTGTCAAAGTGTAGTCAACTACATTCCCTTTCCCTCATTCAAGTTGTTTAACTGAGCTTTTATAAGTGGGGCTATGACACTAAAATCTTTTGTAGAGCTTTGGTTCTATTGAAATCATTCTTTTCATCCCATTTCCATCGTATGTAGTGTGATTGTTGATGTCTTCCAATCTTTGTATGTCTGCTTAAGTTTTTCGAATTTATTTTCGATATTGTTTATGCTCTTTGATGTTCACATTCACCTATCTGGATGTAGTTTTTTCATTGTAATTTTTGATTAATTCCCTGAAGAAACCAGATGGAAAACTTTGGAATCGTCTATTTCCAACACGCTAAGATTCATACAAACATCATTTATACCTATAGTTTAGTTATTGATGGGAAAATGCCGTTCCAGTCAAAACATTTACATTTTACTGATTATTTCAATGGTTTCTAGACTGAAGCTTAGAATCACTTCTTTGTTTCTTATGCTAGTATTTCTCAGTATTTTCTTCGCGTTCCTGGAATATCTTTTATTGTGTTATCTGTTTGTTGTGATAAATATGTTGCTTTTGTCAACTTTTACACCAATATATCTGTGTTCTGGAGGAAACTAATACCGGCATCTGTGTACTTAGTGTTAACCGTTGTGTCTGCAAGGTTTATTAGCGAAAATAAATTTGGCTAGTTTATCTAATAATAAATTTGAAATAATAACTTACAGTTGCATAAATGCTCTGAGCATCTGACGTATTCCACCGCTGAACCTAAACATTGTTTAGATTTATTTCCTAGTTTCATGGATAAACATTCTCTTACACGTAAGCTATAGCGTAGGTTGCCACAAGCTGGCCTACATTTATCCCATACTGACCATTCAGACCACTCACCAACCCATTCATTACATGAAATACCCATATAACCAGGATCACAGATAATCACTGCCTACATGAAAAAGAATAAAAATGTAGAGGAATAAACACTAGTCAATCAATAGTTGATTTCAATATTGACCATCTACTTCATAAAATCGACTGAGTTTGTAAAAGACTAACACGGATGGGAGAGAATGCGGTAATAGCAAAATTGTACTGATTAGTATGCAATCATTTCATTTTATCCCAGAATACATTAGAATAATCAAAAAGGTAGGGAAAAGGCATACTTAAGATTCATGTTTCATTGGTTGGAGCTGATATTTCACGAAGATCTTTAGCACCACTTCACTACTGGGGTATCTTCAGAAGGTGTTCATTTACCAAAACCTTTAAAACGTTCCTGTCAATGCAAGCCAAATAAGTTTGTTGATGTCTAAACCATTCAGCTTCAGGTTATATAAGTGTTTGTACCCAGAATTTCAGAGTATAGCCACTTCCTGCAACATGTAAATGTTTGTAAACTAAGCCTACAAACCACTGTAATAAGCTCGTTTTACTTAGTTAACAACTTCGTCATTCAATGAAGCTAACCTTATATAAGTCGAATTATTAGGATTTACTACTCTACTTACGAAGGTTCCTAGGAAACATAGTTATAAATTTGAATTGAAATGAGTAAAGTATTTGTTGGTTATGAGAAACAGAAATAATCCTCTTATGTTGGCTGCGAGCATCGATCACTTTTGTTTAGAGTGTAGGAAAGTAATTGACTTACAATAGCCATATAGAAGCAAACTTGACTTATTATATTGATGGGATCATAGTTTTTTGCTACGTAACTGGATATCAGAACACTAAACCTAGGAGAACTAGATAGATTTTAAGCTTGAATAATAGTGTGTTGATATTTTTATCTTCTATCAGATTTTGGAGCACTGGACTTTGTCATATTCTTTCCTCTTAGCAAAGTATTTGACTTTGTAGATCAAGAAGTTCTAGGGTGATGTATTCAGTCCTATAGAGGTTTTTATGCATTAACGCAGAAAGTTATGTTAAGACTCCATGTGAATTCTCATACCATTTGATGACAACCAGCAGTATTGAACAGAAGCGTTAACTTTCACTACTTTTTTCTGACCTACAAATGTGCTGATCAAGCTGAACCTGTTTACAGTCGTAAAACAAACATTCAGTTTCTGCTCAGAGGTCTTATTTCACATTTAAATAGCTTAAACGAAATAATCCTGTTGGAAAAGGTGCAATATTATGCCAAATTCATATGGAAACAATTACTTTTGGCATGAGTTTCTAGCATTTAAGAGTAAGCAGACACTCTAGGATTGGTGTAAAGTGACAGACCCTGAAGATGAATAAACCAGTCCACCAAATTACTTACTAAGGAGGCTGCATCATCACAGATAATTTAATTTTTGACTAAATTTAAACCCGGTTAGAATGGATTGGTTTTCTGATAGACAATCGTTTGGATGCATTACATACGATTAGTCATATAATGATGACTAAACCTACACTTCTTCTCTTGCGTGGATGTGATACACTGAGGTTTTAGTTTAGTTCCGTGCGAAGATGGCAGATATCTCATCTTACATGTCTTCTGAAAACTACTAACGTCTCAGCTTACAGATCAGTCAAGAATATTCAGTCACTTTACAACTCTAGAACTTACATTAGTAGACAGTGTTGTGAAATTGAACTGACTGAAGCGTCAGGGACTTTTTTTAAGCATATCAAACTATCTTCTATCCAAGCATAGAAAATTCAGTGGGATAGAATTAGGTCATGTAAAGGCTGATGGTGGCTAGAACAAGATTTGTCATCAACAATACTCTACCACTGGTTCCTAACATCTCAGTGACCCTAGCAAGGCAGTCTGCATCTCTACCCATGGCTCAAACCAACAGTCATCGACTGGTACTACCTTCTGGTCTCACCACACTGAACCCTCTTCCAACCTAATCGGAATTCTTGTAGTTTAGTGAGTCAAAAATCCATGTGAAAATCTGAGATTATAATGGACTTACTTGATCACCTAAATTATTTGATACACAAAATCCATTTACATAAATAAGAGAATCACATTTTGTCAATCTCCGCATGCAATTTGGATACGGCAATTTTATGTCTGGCATCCACCCACTTTCATTGCACTGACATCGATATGTTGCATGTCCATCTATACTAGTTAGTGGGATACATTTATTTCCTGGATTGTTGACGTTACATGCTCTGCTACCAGCAATTAATGTGCCACCATTCGGTTGTAAATGATGTTCAATTCGAAATGCACAAGCGTCTATTTTCTCTTGACAGTAGTAACCATGATAATGAGGCTTACAAACACATTCTGTATACTGAGAATTAATGAAAAAAAGATGCATTGAGTCAGTATAGGAAGTTATTCACTTAAAAATACATAGATCAGGAGGATAATGTGTTCTCAGGTTTCCGTATAACATTTAGCTTAATCTATCCTTTACTGGTTGGAAATAACGGTGTCAATTATATATAGATTATACATATGCATACACACTTCTGCATGTATAGATGTATGCGTGTATTGATCTGTGCACCCAGCTGCCTTGTAATATGTAATATGAGAATATTCAAGCGGCGTTTGAACGTATCTAGGCCAACGATGGTGTTTAGAACGACTTGGGTATCGAGTCAGTATGATGGCTGCCGGTATCCGACATGTGTCTATGTCAGCTTTATAGAGTATAGCTGACATTAACAGTCATTAGTTCCTTTAAATAACGTATAGAAAAAGTAACTTCTAGCATATTTTAATTAGTCTCTTCATTTATTGTAATATTTTTCAGATTTTGTTTGAATGAAATAACGACTGCTAATGACATTCAAGCCATATATAGCTTATATGAGAACATGTCGGATACCGGCATAGCAAAAGAAATAATTAAGTATTTATTATCATTTCACTATCTGAGATAGCCGTAGTTTGGCAGACTAGTATTTATACTGGGTGATGATTGAAGGTGAGATGAAAATTTGAATCGCAGACGGATTCGAACCAGCCATCGCTGGGTTTCCTGCCCTATGCTCTACCAACTGAGCTACGAGATCCAACTGTTAATCAGATTTTTATTTCATTTCAACCACTAAGAGTTTTGCTTGACTACCATACGAATTCGTGTTGCGTAACTATCGTTTGGTCGTATTCACATTTGCTGCTTAGTCCAGCAGCGGTCTAAATTTTCATCTCACCTTCAATCATCATCCAGTAACAATACTAGGCTACCAAACCATGGCTGCTACCTCAGAGAGTCAAATGATAATCAGTATGATGCTCCCCATCTCTAATTCAGTTACATTTGCATTGCGATGAGAAGTCCTGACTAAGCAGCCACTATGAATACGACCAAACGATAGTAACTTATCACAAATTCACAAGGTAATCGGGCAAAACCCCTGGCAATTGAACGGAAATAAAAATCTGGTGAGGATTCGGACTTCCCAGCTTAGTTGGTAGAGCATAGGGAAGGAAACCCGGTGGTGGCTACTTCAAACCCAGCCATGATCCAAATTTTCATCTCGCCTTCAATCGTCACTTAGTATAAATTAAATACTTCGCATTTTTTATAATTTTGCTTGTTTTAACATACTACATTGGGAATATGCAAACAAAATACACTTTATGCAATGACTCGATGAGTGTATTCATGTTCTGTGGCTTTTGATATTTTATTTAGCAATTGCATATCACTTAGAAGATAACCAGCATAAAATCTGACTTGATGCAAACAACTGAGGCATACTCCAAGGTTGGCTTGCAACACAATTATATTTTGAAACATAAATTGCATAACTTAAGCAATCTTCAAATAGATACCCTAGTAAACTGAAGTTTTGAACTACCTGCTGTGAAACTAAAGGTCAGGCAGCTACCATAATGTCCAATATGGAATTATAATGGATGGTCAACATTCTTAAATAAATTTTCGGTATTTAATTTCTCTCGATACTCTTTTAGTTTATCATATAGTTTCTCGATTGTCCGGAGAAACAGAGTGTAAATTTCGGAAAGAAAAACTGTCCCTTTTTTGCACATGACACTTAAGAGAATTAAAAGTTACGTGAAAACTCGTATTCACCAAAATTTTAGAACTCACTTCGTTTGCTACACTTGCTAAAGAAATAAATATCGATCTTTATGAAACATAACAAAAACTTACAGTCACAGTGTGTATGATAAACAGTTACTAGTTAGTATTTAATTTGTGTTAGTGTATAAGGTGCTAGTCAGAGTTTTTTTCAACTCCGTTTCAGATTAGCAATCTGTGGTAAGAGTTTGCGATTAAGACATCTTAACTATCACATCTGAGACCTTAGGATGTAACTGTGGAGATCTCAAGGATTTCGCGGGAAATCTAGCAGAAAACGTAGGTTTATGGCGCCGTATCAAATATGGTTTATCCTAAATGTCATATAAGAGTGACTGCGCCGAAACAATATATTTACATTAGTAAACAAAATCCACTAGACGGTACACAGACGGTGATTCGTACTACACAAAAGATTATACCATCAGTCACCATTCGGCAACCGGCCCATTAACATAGCTGGTGTGTGATGCAACAGCTTCACTCAAAGTAGCGGTCTGGTGGAGTCCGTATGCATGTATGTATGTGTGTATGTATGTATGATGCGTAGCGTTGCATTTTGATCCGCATATGATTTGTCATTCCTGAAGCCGGCCAGCCTGTTCCTATCGTAATCGTAAACCGAGAGAACATTTTATTCTCTCCAGGATAACGCAGCTTAATATTTTGCTTGGGATAGACAGGAGCATGATTCTGCGCCGCTTATTGCAAAGATTTAGGTCTCCCTTCTTTGGGAGTTTGACAAGGTAGCCCTTCCTGCAATCGATCACCAGGTACCTTCCCTTCCTTCCTTCCTTCCTTCCAAACCTTCTGCAATAATGGCATCAGCATGTCCACTGATGTCTCTGCCTCCCTTCCAAGTGATTCCAGTCGAATTTCATCTGGTCCTCACCAACTTTATGGCTTTCAGGACTTCTGCCTTCGTCGGAGGGCTTGTGTCCACTTGTAATTCTGTAGCTGGACTGCTGGTGGTATTTGTGCACGAGTTGCAGGTGGTGGTGGTGGTGGTGGTGGACAATTCAAGAGATTTTGAATCGGTCAACCCATCGTTTCATTTGTTTCTCCTCTTTGCTAATTAAATTTTCTTCACCATCCTTTATTCGTTTCATCTGCCTTGATCTCTTCCATTCCAGATAGTAACTTGGTTATTTGATACAATGTTGTCAGGTCTCTGTCTCTCCTACCAGCAGCCTGTTCTGCTTCACTTGCGAGTGTGTCGTAGAAGTGTCTTTTGTTTTTCCGTGCACTCCTCTTAACTTATTTGTCCAGTGTTTTTTCTATACATTGTACTCAGATCCTCTCCTCGTTGTGCATCCTTGCAATGCACTGGTTTATCTTCTGCTTCACCATCTTCCTCTTCCTTCCTAGTGCGGTTATGGAGGCTTCTTTCGACACCTCTTTCAAAGAGTTCCAGTGTTCTTCCATGCAAGTATCTTCAGGGATGTTGCTGGACGTCTCCCACTTTGTCGTGATGGCTGACGTGAAGATGTCCTTATATATATATATATATATATATATATATATATATATATATATATATATATATATATATTGGTGTTTTGCACACCTATATATATGTTGTATATATGTGTATATTTAAAAAGAAAAAAATTTCGGTTTACTAACTTGGTGATTTGAATCTAATGTACAGAAAAGTGTTCCATTTTTATCGCAGTTACTATTTTTCTCACAATTTCTTGGAACGCGACTCCTCAAGTGTTTTTCTTTCGTAAGGAAATCAGGCTGTTTGAATTTACAGAAAATAAAGTAATATGTACTTTTGTTTAAAAAATTAAGAAATTATTATGCATATATCCAGAAGTAAATTTTCTTATGCAATAATTTACTTATCACTATATTATGAGCTAATAAGTGTTTAATGATTTCAAGGTTCTTATAGGATAAAAATTGTTTATTCTTAAGCTGAGCGATGACAGTCTGATAATTCAGATAAAGGTCAAAATGCATAAAAATCTATACCATATGTTTTACGTATTTCACTATAACCATTGAAAATAACCGTGGTTCATCAGATTTGTACTGAAAGTGGGTGATGATTGAAGGTAAAATGAAAATCTGGGCAACACCCAGTTTACTGACTCGGTACTACGATACTTGGCAGCTGACAAGATTTTTTATCTCAATTTGACCACCAAGGGTTTTGTCTGCCTGTAATGTGAATTCATGATGTGTTACAATTGCCTGATCGTACTTACACTGGTTCGAAGGTTGCCGCCACTCAATTTTCCATTTCATCTTCAATCATCACCCAATATCAAAACAAGTCTGCTAAGCCACGTTTATCTCGGATAGTCAAACTGATGATCAGTATGATACTCCCCATCTCTAATTCAAGTAGATTTGAATTGGTATGAGAAATCCCTGACTGTGTCAGTGTCAGTACGATCAAGTGATAGTAGCGTATGGCAAATTCACATGGTGGTAGGACACAATCTCTGGTGACTGCAGTGAAATAAAAATCTGGTCAATATCCAGATCTCGTAGCTAACTTGTTAGGGCATCTGCCCGGAGACCTGAAGCCTCCTGGTTTGAAACCTGCCGCGGCCAAGATTTTCACTTCATCTTCAATCAATACCCAGTATTTTATGCATATATCAGAAGGATTGGATCAATTTGTCTGAATGAATTATTATAGGATCCTTAAATTTCTATCAAAAACCTTAAGGATTATCCAATGAAAGATTCATCAAAAATTTTGTTTTCATTTTCTTAACATACTTGGAATTTATGTAAGGGAATTTATTTATGATTACGATAGTTTTATATCGTCCTATTATCATGTTGTTGACAAAATACTTTCATATGGTTACGCAACCCTTTCTACTTTCCTTTAATCTTATCTCACTCTTTCGTGAATATTCCTCACCCTTCCTTATGTAACCATTATATAGTTTGACTGACATTTTTACATAAACTTCCTTTGTGCTGTAGATTATTATGTTTTCTTGTTCTTTAAAACATTAACCAGAATTTTAAAGCTCTACATATAAGGTATGTTTATATTTGTTATAGCTATTATTATTATTCATCGTAGAGTGATATCAGTTGGAGGAACAAAGGAAACCTGGGAGCACTGGACAGCTGTTTCGTCCTCAGCAGTGCGCATCCACGACCCCACCAGGGATCAATTTGTATGCAGGTGAAGAAAATTCTATTAAATAAATGACTTTAACTTAACCTGCAAACGGTGTTCTCATTACGTCGTTCAAGATCATAAAGGGGGAATAGATGTATGAAATTAAAGAATTTTAAAAGGATTAAAAATTATTTATGAAGACAACCAATATAAAGTGAAGAATTTTTCCACCACTCTTTCGCGATTCAACTGATATACATATTTACACTTGAGACAACTTTCAAATATTTGATTATTCGTGAAATAAATGAAACAACAGAATAAATTTCTTTGCACAACTAGTAAATTACAATAAAGGCAGGGAAAAAAAATTCCAGTTAACTGATTGATTGTCATCAGTGATACTACTAGGTATACGCATGGTTTAGAAGACTGATTTTTATACATGGGGATCATGATTGCAACTGAAAGACAAATAATAGTCTTCTTCTTAGAAACGCAGATCTATTCTACCTGGCTAGTAAGATTCAGCTGGTCAACAGGCTTCATTTTTGTGAACTATCGATATGTAATCGCCTATTTGTTTCCATCACAACACACTGAAGACAGTGAATAGTTCTATTGTCAGTTTTCTGGATAACTTGATACCATCCAAACGACCATTGGAAATTAGAAGATACTACACAACGTTTTTATCCTATTAAAAGACTATTGATTATTTCATATGAATGACTTCTGTTAGATAAAATATATAACTCTTCAACTGTATCAATAACAAGCTAGTAAGTGAAACAGTATGACCGTATTCCGATAGTATTTTACTGATATTGACTGATATCAGTTGGAGAAAGATTGGAAATCTAGGGGCACTGGAGAGCTATTTCCTCCTAGTATCGGACTCTTTAGCAGTGCACACTCGTGAACCTGCGACCTTCAGGTTTTGTGGCTAGTACCTTACCATTTAGCCTTTGGGTCGGGATCCAATGGTCCACACTTCCTACTTCTGTCAGTTTGCGATATAGAATTATTGTATTTCTTAACTATGTTTATGAATGTGAAATATACATGACATTTACACATTTAAAATTGATCTAAACAACGTCACTCTCTGTTAAATTCTTTACAAGTTCTTTCAGTTATGTGAAGCCGTCACTAATGGTCTAGGTCCTCAACCGGCTGAGCTCGAGTTCGAACTTCTTCCACCTACCCTGATCTTGGCAGCCAGTTAGTAACATGAGCTTTCATACAATTTATGTGACTCAACATCCACAACAAAAACGTGCATAAGGTTGCTTAGTTACACTTAATCTGTTTTTCTATAATTGTTTCATTGGTTTAACAAACTGATTCGATTTCAATTTAACATGAAATCAATTTTGATTGGAATTCAATATTTTCTTCCTGGTTGTATGAACTACTTAATACTCTTTCCGTAATTTCAATAACGATATTTCACTTGATCAGGGAAAAAGCTACTCATCCTTTTCACAATTCATTAACTAGATATTCCAGAGCCGAACTGCTCGACCTCTGTTGACAGATGGGCTCATATGCAGCGCCTCCATACTACCGGATATTCGTAGTGGTCTTACTGACTAGCGGCGGAATTCAGGACGCGCGTTTCGTCCTACCTGAGACTCGTCAGCTGGATATATCTCTACCCCGACGGCTGATGTTGTTCTCACTGAAGCTCTAACCCAGTACCCTTCCCTTCAGACCCCTAAGTCTTATCCATTAAGAGACTGGGGAATGATAGCCACCACTTGTGCAAAGGGTATCAGTTGTTGTAATGATAAGTATAGGACCCCATCTGCCAAAATAGCTCGAGCGATTCAACCCTATATAGGAACGGGAAATCACAAGTATCATAACAAGAACTGATACCTGTTGCACAAGAGGTGGCTGCTGTGCCCCAGTGGCTTCGTGGATAACGCTTTGGCGTTTGAAGCTATGGGTACGAGGTTCGAGTCTCAGTGGGAACAACAACACTGACTGGGGTGCAGGTGCACTCAGCTGATGAGTCCCGAATAGAACGAAACGCGCGTCCTGGATTCTAAAGTACTTTTTGCTGCGCTATAAAGTCACGTTAGGCATTTCTTCTTCAATCAGTACTATTTGTCAGCCTAATAAGACTTTAAACCATGAATGATTTTCAAAATGACATGAAATAAATAAAATTGTTCCCTTATCTGACCTTTTCGAAAATACAAAAACATATTATCACACTACTGTTTTGTCAACGTATGCTTCAGAATCAAAAGTTTATTTTATAGAGTTGAAAAAGATGAGCATTATGCGAATTGATTTTAAGTGAAATCTATTTGTGAAATCCCAATGAGATAGAAAAATAATTTCCCGACGTTTCGCAATCTCACGAAAGTCGTTTCTCCAGAGAATAAAACCTGTAAAAACTATCAAATGCTTAATCACTGAATGACGACAAATCTGATCACGTTATTCTTACGTAATAGTAAAATGCAAATAATTATTTGTTATTTGTTCATGAGTTTAAGGTGAAGATTTGAATGTATGTGAAGGTGTGAGAAAAGTACTACAGATGAAGAATTCAGTTTGTATGTGTGTGTGTGTGTGTGTGAGTAAGTACTTTAATTATGACTAGTGTATGTAGTGATATTTCAGATGGATTGCTCGAGTTGGGTAGTTTAGTAAGGCCTTCGTTTCTGCTGAGTGCATTAGGATTCAACACAATGTGAAATGCCTCAGTTGTTCGTCTTTCCTTGTAGTTTGAAAAACATTCCTAATGAATCCTTCAGTTCACTCAAAAGATAAAATTCTTTTTACCTCTATAAAGAATTGTATCTACAGATTAGATTGTAGATTTTGATGCTTATTATAATGAGAAATCACTCCTCGCTATCCTCACTCGGGCTAAGGAACATGTAGGTTATACAGAATGACCTCCTATAGAACTGGGAAATTTATTATTCAAATTAGCAATTGCTGTTTATGCCGTCTACTATACTAACAAAATTGACACTAAAAATATGAAGATTATTTAAAAAGGTTTTTCTCATCACAAGGAAAGACGAACAACTGAGGCATTTCACATTGTGTTGAATCCTAATGCACTCAGCAGAAACGAAGGCCTAACTAAACTACCCAACTTGAACAATCCATCTGAAATATCACTACATACACTAGTCATAATTAAAGTACTTACTCACACACACATACAAACTGAATTCTTCATCTGTAGTACTTTTCTCACACTTTCACATAAATTCATATCTCCACCTTGAACTCATTAACAAATATTTCATGTTGTTATTCATCGTAGACTGACATCAGTTGGAGGAACAATCGAAATCTGGGAACACTGGACAGCCGTCTCGTCCAACTAATATGGAACTCATCAGGAGTGCACAACCCCAACAAGGATGGAACCCACGACCTTCAGGTTCCGTGAACAGCACGTTACCATTGAGCCACTTGGTCGGAATCTAATGGTCCATATTCCCAACTTCTATTAGCTCACGACATAGCGCAACTGCTACCCAATGCCACGGTTGAGTAACTATCCTCACGACCATCAGTCTAGTGCCACTGGTTACGACTTCTCATTGGAACTTAAGGAAATAACAAATAACAACTATTCCCATATTACTATTACGTAAGAATAACGTGATCTGATTTGTCGTCATTCAGTGATTAGGCATGTGGTAGTTTGTACAGGTTTTATTCTCTGGAGAAACGACTTTCGTGAGATTGCGAAATGTCGAGGAATTATTTTTACCTCATTGGGATTTCACACATACATTTCACTTGTTTTACCGATGTTGTACTCTTACATTTATTCTTAAATAAGCTAGTCATTTCAGTTCGGTAAATTATAAAACTGTGGAATGCATTTGATGATAGGACTTATGTTTACATTTCCTTATGCTTTGTGTTCTTATGATCTTCAGTGATTGTTGAATTGCAATCAAATGTCTTTCGATTCTATGAAAAGTTGTGTTTGCTTAAAAGTATGCAGAAAGCGAAAATAGCACGACACAGAACGTATGGCTATGAGGGTCAGTTATTCAGTTGAAGACAATGAGTAGATCATTTGGTAATGATAATTTATTTTAAGGTGGAAATCATTAGATACTGACATCAGTTGAAGAAATACTGAAAACCTAGGAACACTAAATAGTTTTCTCATCCTAGTACGGGACTCCTCAACAGTGCACACCCATGAATAAGAACCACATGGGATAGAACCATGAACCTTCAGGTTTCACGGCGAGCATGTTTCCATCGCAGTTGGAATCCGATGACCAATATTTCCCTACTTATTTAAATGAGGAATATAGTGCAACCACTATTTAATACCGTCAGCGAATATTTGTCTAATTAACTGTTGATCGCTTCATATTTCTTAACTGGTGAACTGTTTCTAAGTATACTTTGAAACCATTGTTGTACTTCAGTGTGTTCTCACTCTTTTGAAAAGAGACTGCACCCACCTAATATGTGAGTTGTTGGGTTGTTGCTACTGTAGTTTAGGATTTGATCAGTGTGCGTTGGCTTTCTATGAACTTGGCTTTCCAGTTTTCCGGCATTTGTTCCACTGGCTAAAATATTCAGGAAGGTATTCAGTTGTTCGACTCCTTCTCTCTTGTGAATTTGATGCCACTGAAAACGTTGTTGATCAAACTGTAAGTTTTCTAAATCATCTTCTTTAACGATGACAAAAGCATCTTTCAAATAGCGAATCCAAAATTTTCATTTGATCACAGGTAAAATTGTACCGTACATAAAGAATATATTTGAGATCACAAAAGATTACTGAAACCGCCTGTAATTGATGTGGCTCATACGCTAACCAGTCCCTTTCAAACCATACTATGCAGAGCAAAAGACAGAACGGTCAAAGAAGATGAACCAAATATCATTTAAGACATCAACGGCAATAATTGTGATCAATACTACATTGGGCAAAATGGTAGCCCACTTCACCTTCGTTTACATGAACACAATATTTCATCACTCATTTCAATGAATGGTGATAAAAATGTGGACAATGTGAAAATCTCGAACAGAGGAAACACAAAGAATATCAAACAAGTCCTAAAAGCTTGACATTCAGGTCAGTCAGCAACCAACAGATGTATAGACTTTTGAGGGAGATGTGGGAATTTGAAAATATTTGAAGTTGTTATTCATCGTAGACTGACATCAATTGGAAACCTGGGAGCACTGGACAGCTGTTTTGTCCTAGTATGGGACTCCTCATCATTGAGCACCCACGACCACGTTGGGGATGGAACCCGCGACCTTCAGGTTCCATGACCAGCACGTTACCATTGAGCCGCTCGATCAGAATCCAATCCAGTTCAAACTTCTGTTAGCTCACGATTGGATTCTGACCTAGCGGCTCAATGGTAACGTGCTGGTCACGGAACCTGAAGGTCATGGGTTCCATCCCTGTTGGGGTTGTGGGTGAGCACTCCTGACGAGTCCTATATTAGTCGGATGAAACAGCTGTTCAGTGTTCCCAGATTTCCATTGTTCCTCCAACTGATGTCAGTCTATGATGAATAACAACCTGAAATGTATAGACATAAACCCGATCTACCAATCGATAAGAAAAATGATAAACAACATAAAGATTAAACAAACCAGCTCAAGGAACACAATGCAACAAGAATTCTCCACCTGAGATACAAATATTCTCTATCATTTCAAAGAATATCTCTCTATGATAATCATGCTGAATTTTCACATTTAAAACATATAAAAAACAATACTGAAAAAAACTAATCCACTTACAATTTCTTTTGACTGCCTTATCTCATACAGATTATTTGGTAGACATTCTAATGTTTCACTGTCCCATTTATCTGAATTACTACACAGACATTCATATTCATGCTTAAAAACTCCAAGATCTTTGCATTCATCAAAAGAACAATCTTTTTGTATAATACACGGAAAAGGGCATAGAATCTGATAATCTGTTATTGATTTTAAATTCGCTTTATATCGACTGTAACAAGCTGTAAAACATAATGCATTCAAATACTTTAAATAAACATTATAATTTGTTATTTCAGTAATTTGTCGTTTTTCATATTTGTCAATAATTTCTCTCACATTATTGTATTCAATTGGAATTGAATATTCAATAAATTGTTGGCGTATCATATTCCAACAGTTATCATATTTTCTAATTGTTTTATTAAAACAATCATGAAAGTGTATAACTTTTAAATTTTCTAATTTTTTAGAAGTTATTAAATTTTCAATGCTATACCATTTCTCTTTACCAAACAATGGTAATGTACTATTATTAAATAGTTCAAATGTTAAACCTGTTTCAAACATTAAATCTGTACAAAATAAATTTGATTTTATCAAATGTTCAATACTGAAACTTTTAATATGAATCAGTTTTAATATGAATAAATATGTAATATAGAAATTATTCATTATTGTTTAATTGAATGTATACCATTAGAAATGTGAAACTAATATCTTTTAACGTTTAATAAATTTGAATGAGTTAATCGATAATTGAATGAAATGTGATTGCTTCACCTTTAAGGTTAAAAGGTAGAATCGATTAAATGACTGAGACTTACTGTTGTTACATACTGTTAAAAGATTATCAGTAAGTTAAATAAACTTGAGATTGTTAGCTGATCCCTTATCCTGGAGTAGAAAAATTCTGCCTAAACATTAATTTACTGATAAAATAAACAATTTGTAGATGAATACTTACTTGAAATATTTCTAAATCTCCACAACCCCGTCAAAATACAGTTGAACTGGTGCTGATTGATGACTAGCTTCGAGAGGTATTCCCGAATTTCCAATGAGAAGTCGTAACCAGTGGCACTAGACTGATGGTCGTGAGGATAGTTACTCAACCGTGGCATTGGGTAGCAGTTGCGCTATGTCGTGAGCTAATAGAAGTTGGGAATATGGACCATTAGATTCCGACCAAGTGGCTCAATGGTAACGTGCTGTTCACGGAACCTGAAGGTCGTGGGTTCCATCCTTGTTGGGGTTGTGCACTCCTGATGAGTTCCATATTAGTTGGACGAGACGGCTGTCCAGTGTTCCCAGATTTCGATTGTTCCTCCAACTGATGTCAGTCTACGATGAATACTAACTTGAAAATATTTCTAAATCCCCACAACCCCCTTGAAATACAATTTGTAAGTTGTTTATTACTGATATGATGCTTTCGTCTGTCTTTATCATACTGTCAGTTAAAGTTGATCTGAAAATCTGGTTGCTCAAAATGAAGCATGAATGAAGAAGGAAGGATAATCGTGTTAAGCCATCCTCTGTTTGGTCACTTTATTGTCATTAGTGCAAAAGAATGGATCACCTTAGACTGCGGCTAATTTACCATCTTGTTCAGTGCTATCTTTGATTCACTTTAGTTGAAAATAGAACTGATGTTGACTTCCTAATGTTAACTTATGCTTCGGTTAACTTTCTACATAAATCTTACATATATCTAAATTGACAACAATTGAATTTGGAAGCTGGTGAAATTTCATTAGTATCAGATTTGTATTCATCATGCATTGACATCAGTTGGAGAAACATTGGAAACGTTGGAGAGATCCCCGAAGTTCCAATGAAAAGTCTTGACCAGTGGAACCAACGAGGTCGAACATGAGGACTGGTACTCAACGACGGCATTGAATGGAGGTTACACGATATCATGAACTAACAGAAGTAGGAAATATGGATTCCGACCCAGTGGCTGAATAGTAACGCATTGACTGAGAAACCTGGGGTCCTGGATAAGACCCCTGGTGAGGTCATGGGTGTGCACTGTTGAGGAGTCTGGTACTAGGAGGAAACAGCTGTCAGTCGATAATGAATACAAACCTAATCCATTGACTTCGATTACTGCTGGGCATCAAGGACCGGATGGGTTTATGCATTATCCATTGGTGTCTAACACATGTATATAATCCAGTCAGTTCTACAAGGTGTCAATCGGGTCTTGGATAGCTGACTAGTTAAATATTTGACGGTGGTACTGACGAAACCAGTTTTCTAATGGTTGCAGATAAGCCTTACTGAGTGTAGGTTCAGGGATTTCTGTCACCAACTAATACTGGTAATACAAACCATTGTAAATTGTCCCCTATCTCTGCCATCACCTATTTTACTTGGAAATTTCTTGTCAATTGAATACAGATTGACCAAAAATAAGAAGCCGTCGTGTACAAAAGATACTGGAAATCACATTCCCCTCTTTATTGTCTTTTTCATTATATTGCTGCCCACGGTCATTTTACCTTCTACCCTTGAGTTTCAAATATCGTCATGTATAGTCTTCTTAACACCTCGCATCTGATTTATCAAATGCAAACTTCATCTTATTCAGGCGATAATATGTAGTATATAGTTTGTTCGGTTGTGGCTAGCAGAGGAATCCAAGACGCGCGTTTCGCACTGTTCGGGACTCACTTGTCAACTGGATGTACCTGCAACCCAGTGCTGAGTGACGTTGTTCCCACCGAGACTCAAACCTCGTACCCATCGCTTGCACTATGCCATGGAGGCATGACAGCCACTTCTTGTGCAATGGGTATTAGTAATTGCTATACTTACAATTCTCCTTTGTCGATAACGCCTTGGCGTTTGAAGTGATGGGTACTAGGTCCGAGTCTGAGTGGGAACGACATCACTTCGCACTGGGTTGCAGGTACATCCAGCTGACGAGTGAGTTCCAAACAGGACGAAATGCGCGTTCTGATTCATCTGTTAGCCACAAATAAGTAAATTACCATAATTAACATTCAGGCAACATCGAGGCATCTGCATAGGAGTCCATATGCCAATAGAGGTCGAACAATTTGATCTAATAAAACAACGGAGAATTACAAGTATATTGATAAATAGTTTATATTGTTTGTTGGATAATTTAGCATCTCTTCGTATGTCAAACACGTTTTATTATTAATCTGAGACCTCATTTGATCTGCTGCTACCATAATTTAACTTTTCAACCTCGAATTATTACTAATATTATCATTGTTATACTATTTTAAATGCTTTGACCAGTTGTTTGCAACTCTCAGGGTAGAATTTTTGCATCCCACTCCCTTCCCATAGGAAAGGTAGCATGACACTGATAATCATCCGCAGGAAATACCATCACACCGTTATCCAGCCAGGAACATGACTCCGCCCTCGGACCCTCATCATAGCGTAGTGGTTCACACAATGACGTGGACTGATTTGACTTTTACCAGCATCCAACAGACTTTCTGATTTGGTAGGACCTTGAGAGAACAAATTCTTCACAAGCCTAACCACTGGAGTGTTGTTATGTACAAACCCGACCAACACGTCAAGGTAGCATTAGTAAGTTGGCAGACTTACAGATGATCCCATTGAAGCGTTTGAATAGCTTCCTGATCTGTCAGCTGGAAAGTGCGTTTACTATGAGCTCATTTAGGAACCCCGTTACATCAGCAGCCGAATTACTGGTAATGCTGTCGCTATTAGTGCCAGAGCCGACGCTACACTAGTCAGACTGGATGCCAATCAACAGTCATGTGTGTCCTCTTAAGTTAGGAGTCTTGACTGGCTAGTAGAAGGATATCTCTTTGTCACCTCTGCCCATCTAAAACTGGCTGCTAGCTGGTGGCCTGCATGCACATGTCACGTGTTTAAAATTGGAGAAGGGTGGTTAGGTGGCCAACAGGGATTAGCAGGTTGCAGTTCGAATAACGAAGACCATTTTCTCCAGTTGTGTGCTGACCACAACCGTTTATTAACAAGTACCAACTTTAGATACGGCCGTTCCCTTGTATTAGTTGGTCTGTCTTCCGTGCCAGAAAAGTCTGGGCTAAGAAGGACCATTTTTCAAGTAGGTTACGATGATGGTGTATTCACGACTCCTGACCCTTTTCGAACATCTGTCTAAACTGTGATCACCCTTTAGCATGTGCAATATTTCTTTTGTGATTTGATACTAGTGGTGGTCATAAACAGCGTTATCCTAAGCAGATCGATGTAAGCAAATTTTTCACTCTGGTCACTGAAACTGAATGTCGAAACGAGCTAGATTCAGTGTCATTTGTGGAATCTCCTGAAAGAAAAGATGAGCTCCAAATAATTTCAAACAATATGTATAATACAATGTGAAATTCTCAGCATGTAATTTTTCAATTAAGTCGCTTTCAGAACAACATTTTTTGACGATTGCATTTGAATGATGTTAATAATAACAGCATTCAAGATAATAATGTGCAACAAACAGCTTATTTTGGATTACCGTCCGGCCATGAATGAATAATCAGTAGAAAAAAAAGCGTAAATTACTTGATGATAGTTCATTCAGTTGGTACAAGAACCTGCGACTTCAGCTAATTATCCGGAGGATAGAAATATGATGTACTTTCATCCACTGTAAAGTTCACTTTTATATAACGTGACATTTATTTTTACTGTTTTGTTATTAACTCGAGAAACATCAAGTTGAAAACATTTTTAAAATGTGTACGAGTATATGATAAATTCAGGGGACATATTTATTTAAATGATTAAAACAAATTGTAAGGAAAATATATAATATACATAGTGGGTGGAAAACTTTAGTAGTTCAAGGTTCAAGCAGGCAACAATTTGTTGTGTAGCTTGGTAGAAACGATAAAAGCATTTTTTTTTAAAACATAAAAGTGATTATGTAATATACAATTTCTGTTATTTTATATCAGAAAACAGATGAATCAGACAACTCAAATATATTACAAGATGAAAAGTTAATTATCAATATATAATGAGCAACGGAGAAGATAGTTAAGATTACACGGCGCGATCATTACCATTATCATCATCATCATCATCATCACTATCATCCATATACCTAGTTACGATATAAATGCATTACGCAATTAGAAAATGGGATAATGAAACGTGTCCAAATGCTAAGAAAGGCAGATGACCTAAATAATCGAAAAAGGACAAGAAAAGTAAATTCGGTTTAAGTTATACTTAAAATATGTGATAGATTCCAATACACAATTGAAATTATAAAGCGATAAAAATTTCTTTTCATTATAATGCCACAGCTAAAAAGCCTATTACATAGAAGTTCAGATTGAAATTTACACATCCTGCGCTTTGTTACATCTTGAACACGTTACTATTCAAGGACTACTTCTCATCACTTCGATCAAATCCTTCTTTGTGATTACTAGTTGGAGACGTAGCTCACTGGTTTAGTAAAATGATTTTCTATCAATGAATCATGGATTCAGCCTCGCTCCACCTAGCGAGGTTTTGGCAATCAGGTAGTATCTATTACTCTTCATACAATAGATAGACAAAATCAAAGTAGAACCCTACAACAAGTGGATAGGTTCAAGTCAGAAAAAGAGGCGCACACGCAGTAGTGCACACCATTGCCTAAGCATGAATGTTTCGTTTCATTCGTGTTCACTTTAATATTTTTGTATTTCTATCCTGTAGCAAATTGAACTGACATGTTTTTTTATATGTGTATAAAGCTCTACATTGTTCTCTTTGTCATACTATTTCTACTGTTGTTATTGTGGAAGCGACTGCTATGTGTGAATCGAAGCCATCATCATGTATACACAAGAAAATTTTCCTTACATTACACCTACCTCGGTAAAATCTATTTGTTTATCATAACTGTTTTGATATATCCTCTTATTTTTCAGTTTTATATAAATTAACTTGATTAGAGTGTGTACAAAATGCATTGTAAAAATAAATCAGGTGAGGCAAAAAGTTATCCACAGGTGTTATCATGCCTTCTATGGAATGTAGCGTTCTGTGAGTAAATTCACATATTCCCTATATATTGTATGTATATTTTATCTATTTGTATACTTTTTAAAATAACACCCTCTGTTTCATGCTCTTTGATTCATGCGAAAAGTATTGGTTACACTTCCATCTCCTAGTTGGAATGAAAGTATACTTTATTTATGGAAAATGATGCCTTTAAATTGCAGCAAAAAAGAATTTATGATTGCAGTTTTCACTTCAAAGTATATGTTTACAAAACACAGAAAATACATATTTTCACACACAATACTACTTAAAATTGGGGATAACTTTTAGCTCTAACTAATATATCATATAACATCATTCAAATAAACTTCATCTTTTAATTACACTACCCCTAAATTATCATATGTTGTAACTATGAAAACCTCGCCTGGTTAACTATTACACTAGTTACTGGCCGGTCCTAAGCCCGATAAAGAGGGAAGGTTTGGCATAGAGCTAGCAACCCTACCTCGTAAAACCAATCTAATCGCTACAGAAACTTCAAAGCACAAAGAAATATAAAAAATTAAAAAAACTTATTCCTCACTGGAATCGGAGAGACGGGATGATGCCGGTTGGTGAAAGCCTTCAGGAAGCCAGTCGGCGATATGTCTTCTCTTCTCTCGATGAAAGCGAAAGTGAGGGTGGGGACATAGAATGTTCGCACTATGTTTGAACCTAGCAAGGCTGCCTAGATTGCAAAGGAGATGAGAAGGTATGGCATAGAAGTGCTTGGAATCTGCAGATGGAATGGAAGTGGACTCTCCAAACTGTCAACTAGGGAGTCAATAATCTACTCCAATATTGTCACCCAGACAGCAACCATGAGCACACTGAGTTTTCGAGCGGATATCATGAATTCCCCAAGAGCATCGAAAGCTCTACGAATAAGGCAGATCAACAGAAGAAGGAGGAATTCTACAGACAACTGCAATCAGTACTAGATAAGACTCCAGTTGGCGACATCAAAATTCTAATGGATGTGGCAACATGAATGCCAAACTCGGAGTGGACAACACAGGAAAAGAACTAACCATGAATCGAGAAGCGCTGGGTGAAATGAATGAGAATGGAGAATTGCTTGCAGAATTCTGTGCATTCAACGATTTGGTGATTGGAGGCACTGTGTTCAAGCACAAGGATATCCACAAAGCGACATGGATTTCGCCAGATGGACACACCACACCAAAAATCAGATTGACTTCATCTCAATCTCAAGAAAGTGGAGACGCAGCCTACTGGACACAAGATGAAGAAAGGGAGCAGATATAGGTTCACACCACTCACTTTCTAGTGCAAGAAACCTTCAAGACCAAGCCGAAAGCCTTCAAAGAAGCTGGTGATAGACCACAGTTCAAGTTCAACACCCAGAAGCTGAAGGACGAAACTGTAAAGGAAATCTTCACGTCAGCCATCAAGACAAAATGGGAGACATTGAGCAACATACCTGAAGAAACCTGTGTGAACGAGCACTGGAATTCTTTGAAAGAGATGTGGAAAGAAACCTCCATAACCGTATTAGGAAGGAAAAGAAAGAAGACATGGAAGACACATGGAAGCTGATAAAGGAGAGGAGGGTGGTGAAGCAGAAGATGAATCAGCGCAAGGATGCTTAACGACAAGAGGAACTGAGTGCAACGTATAAAACGCTGGACAAAGAAGTGAAGAAGAGTGCGCCCTATGTGAGCCCTATATTCCACTAGGAACCGAAGGGACAAATAATATAATAATAATATAACTATTAAAAATTTATGCACATTAGTCATTCAAAGAAGCAATTCAGATTATTAACAAGATAGTGATTATTAATGTGCTTTAAATTATATTTAAATGGATGTTTGACTATTAGTCATAACATTACAGATTTTAACAAAATACTAGCGCCTATTCAATGTTAAATATGAAAAGGATTTTTTTCCAGGTACATGTAATACAAGCAGTTTATAATAAACATTTGAATAGTTTTACAGGTTAGTTCATTGTACAAAATGAAATCCATGGGATAACCAGATGTCTGGACTATACATTTCTTATCTCAATAGGGTGGGGGTGACGAAGGGTGTGATTTGGTGAGCATAAACAACTTTTGTATTGTAAATCATTTTGTTATATGTATAATATTATCTCATTTCACTTGAAAACCGAATTTCAGTCAAAAATCAGATAGACATTGATAGGTTTTAGCTTACGGTGAATTGAATTTGAGTCCTTCAGAAGTACATCGAAACATTTATGAACAAATATCCTTTCATAGAGTTATGCGAAACTGTTGACATGTTATATTAATTAACTCAGACTATAGATTTCTGTAAGCTAACTGGTGGATTACAAGTATCATTACAACAACTGACACCCGTTGCACAAGACACGGCTATTGTGACCCAGTAGCTTAGTGTATAACGCTGTGGCGTTTGAAGTGAAAGGTACTGGGGTCGAGCCTCGGTGAGAACATCAATTACTGGGGCGCAGGTACATCTGGCTGATAAGCCAGTCCCAAACAGGACAAAACGCACATTCTGGATTACTCTACTACTCACTAAAATCAATATAATAACTGTTGGATAGTTTAATTTCCCTAAAAATGACTACAATGAATAATGAGGTGAGGAAACTTAACAACAATGAAAGAAGTCAGAAGTAATAGTGAGTTAAGTTGACATCTAAACCAGTTGCTTGAAAAGAAAACACAAAATTTCAGACAAACAGAATTTATGGCAGCTGTATGCTCGTTATATCCCATATACATAACGCCTTAGATATGAGCATTTAAGAAATTGAATACACCTTTAGTATCAACATTATAGAACATTTCAGAGATGTTTCATTTCTATGGCAAATCCAGAGCATAAAATAAATGAACATCTTTCAAAATGTTAAGATATAATTCGATTCTGATAAGTTTATCTCCATGAAACAATGAAGAGGTGTAAGATGATTGTTGAACTCTGAACTATTGAGTGACAATGATAGTGATGAAAAAGTCTTTATTAATTATGGCAAAAGATTTATTAAACTTTCAATAAATGATTGGTGAAGGTGAAATTCAAAAGGGAAACTACTCATTCATATACTTTTCTGATGATTTATTACGCCGATAATTCATATTTTGACGGTACAGTAACACTCTTAACTAAGTGTGCAAAATTTGATTTCACTTAGTTTCTTGCTGAACAATAAGCGATCTAAGAACTGTTGGAAGTTAGCTTCATATCAATTAACTGATATTTATTTTTCTACTAACCGTTTCATGTTTCCTTACCTTTGAGTATCTTTGATATTTGAAGATGACTTTCAAGTATTCCTTACCTTAAGGATAATTGATTTATCCATTGATTAGCCACCGAAAGGTAACCAACTTCATGTTGTCTAGTGCTCAGTGTTGATCGAATTCTGTCGACCACCTTGCACTGAGGCACCCAGACTAGGCAGCTGAACATTGTGATTCACTTTGATAGATATTAGTTGGATAGAGATAGTCGGCAAGAAGCCCTGTTCAACCTAAGTTTCGTGCTTTTTGGCACTCATCAGCAAGGCGTATCTGCAACCATGGTGGGACTGATGTCCCACCTGAGATTCGAACTCATGTCACCAAGCGTTGTAGTCAGCGATGTTATTCTTCGGTGACCAATTAATGTATTGAATTCAGCCCTACAGGAGGTCAGTCGCGGCCCAGACAGCTCAGTGGTAACGATCGCCTCCATCCAACTAATATAATTTATTTAAATTCAGATATGCACTATTGCTTATGATCTTACCAAAATCTATTAACAGGATTTTATTTCAACATCTTGGGCAGTTCTAAAGTAGAATGTCTATGACGTAATCTTGACAATGAGTCATAAAGCACCTTATCATGTTTGTTAAAGTAGGTTAAACTTCCTCACTGTATACTACTACTAACCATAAAGTTAGCAGCTTAAAAACTATTGTTATAGTATAAGGGACATAATACGTTTTATATGTTTTCCTTTCTCAGGCCATTAATAAACAAATAAATGAGGCTAAAGTAAAGCCATAACACAAGATAATATTTTATCCGAATAAATCGGACATCCCAATATCACTCACTAGACAACAGGATGATACGTCTTGGTGTACCGTTGAGATGTCAATGACAAATGGCTATTAAAGTATAGCTACTTATAGCTAAAAACAGATCCTAACAGACAAGATTATCTTCAATACATACATGCATCTGAAAATGAAGAAAAGGCAGTAATTTAGTTGAATTGTTATGCGCTTTAACACCGTTATTTATCTTCGAGTAGACTAAGTCAGCTTCATAGTTACAGGGTGATAAGATGATAATTAACAACAGCTAATAAATAAGTTACTTTATTTACCTTCCAGGAGGAAGATTTTTAACTGTATTATGGTATGCATCGAAAAACATCTGTACTTCTTTCGATGGCCAATTCAATCCACGCATCTGTTCTATTAACTAAAATAAAAGTTTTTTTAAAAAAAAAGAGAATAAACAAAAATAAGAATTTGCAACGTAGTTAACACTGGTAATTTATTTGGTTGCGGCTAGTAGAAGAATCCAGGAAGCATGTTACGTCCTATTCGGGACTTGTCAGCTATCGAGTCCCAAATAACGAAATGCGCGTCTGGATTCTCCTGCTAACCAAAACCAACCAAATTATCATAATTAACATTCAGGTAATATGGAGGCGTCTAAATAGGAGCCCATATGCCAACAGACGTTGAACAATTCAATCCAATAAAACACACAGGATTACAAGTATGTTAATAAACAGTAGTAGTTAACACTGATAAAAACTATAATCAATATAAAAGCCACGAGGCCAACTTAGCATTTAAGGTATAAACTGACTAACCGATCACGAAACTCAGAGTACCTATAAATTTAAGGTTGGTAACACAATAAATAACCCCCTCCTCCTGTTATGCTCCATTCGTGCTGTACACATCAAATCAATACAAATAACAAACGATAATCACCAACATTTGTAACATCCCTTGTATGTTGTGGAACTATTAGACTATAGATAGTTTAAAGTTAACACATCTAATCCAAATGTTAACAAAAGAATGGATTGAGAAAATTTCACATTCACCTGTCATGTCGCATGAATAAGAATACTTCCAGTACTTCAGTATTCATCTTCGAAGCAAGGTTTATGATAACAATTTGTTTAAAACCTAAAGCTACACTTCAAATTGTGTAAGAACCCTCATTCAAAATTATTATCCAAAAGTTATGCATAAAATCCATATCCATTCGGGTAGGAGTTTGGAGATTACAGTGAAAAGAAGAAAGTCACTTTTCACAGTAAGACAAACCTATTGAAATTATATGCGCATATTTGATTTAATGGTATACACAATCGATTATCCATTGTTATTTTGAACGTTAAAAATCCCTGAATCATTCTGCTGTTGGCATTCTGATAGTAACGTTAGCAATAATATTAAATGTTCAACAGTAAGTAGTCTATGTTTTCCATCACTATTGCGTTCTCCACATTGCTCGCTTACAGTGAAAATATAATGTAAGTAATTCTGACGTGAGACGGGTATATTTAGGCGTGATGGCGATTGTTATTCATTAAGTATGGCCATCTAGCAATACCGAATTCGTTAGCTCCAACATTTGTTACGTATGTCATCCCAGCGAAGCCCATACCATTCACTTGACTTCGAACCAGTTGAAAGAACCAAAGAGACAGCCAGCGTGTGATATAGTGTCATAGAATGGAAGATAGTTGTGTTAGGTTACCATCAGTTGATGCCTCACAACTCCCTGGATGGCATCTGAGAGATCATGGAACACAGTGACATGAGACGATAGCAGACATGCCTCAGAATCAAAACCAGTGATGACCATACTGAAATGTTTTCACTTCTTTTAAAACTGAAAAGAAAAACGAAAGTAATGAATACCTGATAGGAAGTAGCCTAAATCGAAATCGGCATTCAAGGTCATCAGCCGCCAAGATAGAAGTTTTGAATTTCAACCTTGGTTTCGTGCGGATAATTTTGTCCTTCAGTTGATCAATGTAAACGAATATCTAACTTCTGACCCAGTGGCTTTATATGCTGAGGAAAACTGTACATAAATAATATATTTCTTATCAAATAAAACCGTCTTCCCTAGTCACAGACTGATTTTCACGGCTATGTGAAGTATCATGTTGAAGGAGAACAGTCGCTTTACGTATCCAGTTCAAGTATCGCATCACGTCATTGTAGTTCCGCATATTTGTTATTATCTAGTCAGTCACATCAATAGCTCTTTGGATGTTATCTTTGAGATTAATTCTTTTACGTTTTTTTCTCTATTTCGTTTTCCGTGGCTTTATAGTGCTGTTTTATTATTTTGTGTAACCCATCTTTTTGTATCCATGCTGTACCAAGTTTGTGTTTCAATAACATAATATATAATAACTTGCAAATTATACACAATCAAGTGGTCCGTGAAGAGACTTTATAAAAGAAAATAGTAGGCTAGGCTTTTTAGGCTAAATTAACTTCAACCTACAGTTTACAGAAAAAATGCGTACAGTAAATAGGATTTCTAATGATTTAATCAATAAAATCTCCCCTTATGAACAGACCAACGTCTACTTGTTGAAAGGCAGTACAGACTAACATCATAAAATGTAGAAAACAATACTACAAATTCTCCAGAAAAAGCCTAAAACTATTTACTTTTTCAATTATATCGATGAAAAAATTCCGCATTTCTCGAGCATGACTTAAACCACAAGCCAAGTTTATTATTGCTTTCGAAATAGGCTAAAATAATGAGAAATCGGGAATAAAATAACATAAAAAATAATAAACCAGTAGCTAGCTTAAATATACTGTGTAGAGAATAGTAGTAAAATTGAACGAAAAGGAACATAGTTCTCCCTAATAAGTTCGATGTTTTATTGTGATTTTTAACGTGATTGAGCGGTTTGTAAATAATTAATTCCATAGATACTTGAGGTTCACCTATATTGAATCGAATACGCAACTGGAGGAAAACAATATCTCTATTAGAATAACACATCGTGAAAATGCAGAAAATGACAAGTTTTATACCGAAATCGAACCAAAGACACTCAGCAATCTTGTGCAAATTCATGTAGTGGGCGATAAACCACACCTATTGTATGAGGGTTAATGATACTATTACCTGGTTGCACAAACTTCATTAGTTTCAGCGGGGTTCAAACCCGTGACCCATTTGTTGAAAGTTATCTTCCCAAAATCAATGAGCCAAAGCCCCACGAGTTTTATGCCACTCAATCGCATATTGTTATAAGTGTAAGAATATTCTGTTCATATGGGTAGAAAGAATTTGTTATACTACTTACACACCTGGCAAGCTTATGCTTTTTACTGATTAATTACTGCAGATGTATAGCTCGGTCGATATTTGCTACTGTGACGTTGTGGTCAGGTTTACATACGAAATACTCCAATGAGCTATGCGATAGGATCATTTGTTTCTTCGATCCTTGTCAGATCTAAAAGGTTTGTTGATTAGTGGTAAAACGAAAAGTAGTTCCCAGTACAGTCTAAACAGCTATACCATGATGTGGGTCTGAGGACAAATTCCTGTGACGTGACAATAGTAAGGTGTTTCCTGTGGATGACCAGCAGTACAACGCTGATGTTACTTTATCTATGGAAGGTAGATTGGCTTCAAAATACCACACTGTCTTCTGCCTCGCACTCCACCGGCGACAACTGTATGGATTTTATAGCTGGTATCAATGCAACCAAAGTTCAGCTTCAATCTTTCGAAAAGGTAGTTTTCAGGAGTGATAACTAAAATATTAATCAGTGTGAATAGCTCTGTTTCATTAAATAACAAGTGATAAAAGATGTAGCATTATCATAATCACCATCAAGATCACATAGGACCAGGCATTACTGAATAACGATCCAAGTTGCCACATCTCATTTCACCACATCAAGTAAAAAGGCAGTAAAATGGAAGATACTTTCTGAATTAATCCAGAGAATAAAAAGTTACGTCCTCCGATTGTCTCCTAGATAGAATTATAAAATTATTCTGTCTGGCGTTCACATGAAATTGTTTAAATATGACAGACCTTTTAAGATACAATTATAATTGAAACTTCATTTAGACTGTGCTGAAATCTTACAAACTGAAAGCAACCCGTATCCAAATTACAACTGATAGAAGAGTGGAAAGGACAAAGGGATTGTGTATTAGCAACAAGAAACTCTGGGAACGAACGAACCAACCAAGAACCTATCACCCAACAAATATGCAGAAAAAAGTGGAGATGGATTGGTTTGAACGTTTGGAGACATCACGGAACAGCCAGGCCCTCAAGTGGGAGCCAAGTGGGAAACAATGAGGCCGACGCGAGGGTGACATGGAGACCATGTAGGAAGAAGTGAAAGCTTGTGGGCAGTCGTGGTGCCAGGCCCAAAAGACTGCAGAGAACAGAGTGCGATGGAGGCGTGCTTCTGAAGCCCTATGTTCCGCTAGGAACCCAAGGGAAAATAGTAATAATAATAATAATAAACCCTGTAAAAGTCATGGCGTTTTTAGAGGTAAAAATTTTCTCATCCGTACTAACAAGTGCACAATCGGAATTGATAACATAGAAAAATACGCTTACTTTAAAATTCGGTTCTAAATTTGTTAAGATAATCTTTGCTTGAACTTCAGAAAGACTACGTATGACAAACTGTGGAATTGTAGAAAAATAAACCAATTCAAAATGTGCAGATTAAAACAATGGGTTCTTCGTATAATACGAGAGCTTATTATGATAAAAAGTGTCAAAACTTCATCTGAAGTGAGTGTTAACATAGTGTACACAGTGGTGAAGAACACAACGTTGCCGTCTGACACCCGTCATACGTAGGAATTTAAACTACAATGATAACTGATTGTTGTCTAACAACTATCCAACAGACGTTTCTGGTATGGTAGAACATAAAGGAATAAGTGTTCCACCAGCATAGCTTTTTAGATCATTGAGACATAAAGCCTGATCACCACGTCAAGGTAGCAGCTATCAGTTGGGATCTATCACCCAAAGAAATTAACCAATGTGACTGAAGGAAATTTAAGATCAAAAAAGTCAAGGGGTGGTAAAAATCTCTTCCTCAACTTACAACTCAACAACATTCAAAGTCGGTGAAAACACTATCTAAACGTTCTTTATGAAGTTAATGCTGAAGATGTCAGCAATCTTGGTGATGAAGTGTTCACGACAAAGTATCAAAGTTCAGAGAACACCAAGCCACCATCATCCTCATCGTTAGCTACAAATCTTTTGCATCATTTCAAAATCTGTATCACTATTTGCTTTATCGAAGGAGTAAATCTAATCTGGATCAAAAAAAGTGAGATAATAAGGTCGGTAAAGGTGTATGAGTGGAGACAAATAATAAATCGATGCAGATTATTGAAAGTAACCAACAAAATCGATTTTGAACCATATCACTAGGACTTGCAAACCATTATTTATATCGTCTTGAGGGCCCAGTCACACAGCCCATATCTCTCTATATGATCCAAGCCAACAGTCAAAGATTTCATGAACTGGTCCCATGCTTTGATTTAGAGACACTTAGCCTTTTGTAAACCTAATCTAAATAGGATAAAACATGCGACCTGGATTCCATTGCTATCTACCAAGCAGACAACAGCATAACGAGAAGTCAGGCAGTAACGAGGCATCTGCATAGGAGGCCATTTGCCAATAAAGGTCGAGCTATACAATCCAGTATAGCAACGGAAGACTACAAGTATCAAATAATAACCGATACCCGTTGCACAAGAAGTGGCTTTCATCCCCCAGCGGCCTAGTGGATAACCATTTGACTTTGCAGCGATGGATACTGGGTTCGAGTATCAATGAGAACGACATCACTCAACGGGGCGCAAGTACATCTGGCTGACGAGTCCCAAATAAGACGGAACACGTGTCCGGGATTCCACTACTAGCAACCAAGTAGACTGCAGAATAATGACTTACCAGTAGATAAAATAAAATGCAGTCCTGGATTCAGAGAGAAAACGACTGCGACAATCACTAAGTAGAAACTAGTGTTCAGACACTGAAGATTTACTGGATATTAAGTTTCATTTGTAAGTCTCCTTTTTTCGCCAGTGCATGTGACAACGGAAACCGATAGTTGATGATTCTAGGTGAAATGGCTTCAAGCGAACATAATAGTGCAGATGCATCTAAACCCATGTTAATTTCAACTGTTTTACCACATTACGTCAATCAATATCAACATAGGACCAGGCATTACTGCGTAACGGTCCGAGTTGCCACACCTCATATCAGTACATCAAGTAGAAAAGGTAGTGAGGTGAAGGGTGAAGATAAGAGAATGCAGTCAAAAGAAATATTAAGTACGAGAAGAAAGAAAAGAGGAATGACAAAATGGTGAGATTCGGTATAGCGTCGTTAAGATGAAGATAATGTGTGTATACATCTGCGCCACTGATGTCGGTTCTCAGCCATATGATCACCTAGAGTCTCCAACCACTTGTTCCTCTTGTCCCGCGGACCCCAACTACCTAGTCTGCATCGCCTCACATGGCTCAAATCAACAGTCAGAGACTTCATGCATTGGTGTCATGTTTTAGTCTGGCTACCTCGGGCCTTTTTCCAGCCTGGGCCTACTTCGGCTTGACTTGTAAGTTAAACATTATCAACCAGTTTCAGCAAAGAATACACACACACACAACCTTTTATAGTGTATCGACAGAAAGAAACTTAACTTTTTTTCATTACAGGTTTTGACCTTCTTGTTTCGTCAGTAAATAAATTTCAGATTGACATGACTCCAAACGAACCAACTACAACACCAACAAGCCATCCTATGGGAAGATAGTGATCATGGTAAAAACGGATTCTTTTACGAATTATTTGCTCAAAGTGAGCATTTGAAATTGCAACCTACAAACTCTCAGTCGGCATTCACCATGGATTGACATCAGTCGAAGAAACATTGGAACCCTGGAGGTACTGAGCAGATGTTTCGTCCTAGTATGGGATTTCTCAGCAGTACGCATCTATGACTTCGCTACGCGAGGTGTCGGGACCAGGACCTTCAGGCTCTGTGGTCAACATGTTACCATTGAGCCACCGAGTCAGGTCTGTTAGTAAATACATATCATTTCAAAGTATATTCCTCATTTGAATATGGTATTACATACTGAAGGAAGTCACTTACTAAGCATCATTGTTAACGAAAACTTAACAGTTAATTTGAGAAATATAATCAAGAAGTCATGTGTAACAAAATTTCGAGTAAAAGATTAGATTTTAATTGCCATTTAAGATTGGAACATAAAGTTCCCGTCTATTAACCACTTTTCATACATCGTTTATTTCTGTTATTCATTATTAAAATGTTGAGTAGCTTTGAATTTCAGTTATTAAAAATGGAGATTCTGATTTTAAAAGGGATATGAACTTATTTAAAGTTATAGATTTTGATTTTGTTTTTGGAAATCAACAGAATAGTTGATACCTCTACATTCTTTCAACTACTTAATAACAGTATATAAAAAAGGCAAATTGTTCGAAGAAAATGAAAACCTTGTTGAATAGAGTTTAATTAAATTTTGAGGGGGTTGTGGAGATTTGGAAATATTTCAAGTTGTTATTCATCGAAGACTGACATCAGTTGGAGGAACAAAGGAAACCTGGGAGCACTGGACAGCTGTTTCGTCCTAGTATGGGACTCCTCAGCAGTGCACACCCACGACCCCACCAGCGCTATATCGTGAGCTAACAGAAGTTGGGAATATGGAGCATTGGATTCTGACCCAGTGGCTCAATGGTAACGCGCTGGTCGCGGAACCTGAAGGTCGCGGGTTCGATCCCTGCTGGTGGGGTCGTGGGTGCGCACTGCTGAGGAGTCCCATACTAGGACGAAACAGCTGTCCAGTGCTCCCAGGTTTCCTTTGTTCCTCCAACTGATGTCAGTCTTCGATGAATAACAACTTGGAATAGAGTTTAATTGGAAAAATGTTTGCAAGTATATCGTTCAGACTATTATGTAATATGTTCAAATGAACTAGCACTATGTTAGGTATCATAAAGTTGAAATTTTTCGAACAATATATTTAATTAAACGTGTACAAGGTATAGCTGCACGGTTGTAACAGTCAACATACAATCAGTAAGTGATGGGTTTCAATGCTGCTTTACTTGTGGAGGCTTAAGAAGCCAGACAGTAAGATGAATCTTCACATAATAGATGTAGTCTTTATCTAGTATACTAAACTGTAAGTAGTTACTGAGCTGAATTACACATTATATTATTACTTACTTACTGTTTATGCTTATCCAGACATTCTTTCTTCTCAACTAATGGTTTAAATTCTTTCAGATCATGAAAAAATTGTAGATCCAAATCAATGCTGACATATGTCTCACCTTTTGAATCTGTAGAGTAAATAGAATTTCGATAATAGATAGAGGAAATCATTGTACATTGAGGAATAGGTGTGGAGTTATAGTTTATCGATTTATGCAGATGACTTTGAGGCAATGGGGTTACTGGTTCGAACATCGCTCAACCTACCAAGTTTTGGGTAGCCAGGTGATAGTATCATTAACCCTCAAATAATAGGTGTAGTTTATTGCCTACTGTATGAATTTTCACAAGGTTGCTGAATGCATTGCGATTTTCGATTTTGACAAACAATGTGGAGTATGTATAAGTTTAGCCTTCAATCAAGTACGTAAGTCTGTACACTGTTCTTGAGTTGAATGTCTGCGTTGTGTAACAAAAATTAAAAAACTCTTCAAGTGTGTGAGATTCATAGAAAAATTTTCATGACACTAACTAAGTATGACTGGAAGTTTAAGAAAGGAAGAAAATGACATCGAAGCCTCTTTATTCTAAACAAAAACCCACTGATTTCAAAAGGACCTCGTTTTGTTGTTAGATGTGAACAGTTTTCTGCATATTCCCATATTCAATTTTGGGGTTTGTGGAGATTCATTGACTTCAGGTTGGTATTCGTCATGGACTGACATCAGTTGGAGAAACAATGGGAATCTGAGAGCACTGGACAGCTGTTTTATCCTAGTAGGGGACACCTCAGCAGTGCACATCCGTAATCCCGCCCCATCAGCGACCGAACCCAGGACGTTCAAGCTCCGTGGCCAGCACGTTACCACTGAGCCCCTAGATCAGAATCCAATGGTCCAGATTTCCTACTTCTGTCAGTTCACAATATAGAGCGACCTCCATCCAATGTCGTCATTGAGTAACAGTCCTCATGTTCGACTTGGTTGGCCCCAATGGTCACGATTTCTCATTGGAACTTCGGAAATCACTTCTCGAAGCTAGTCACCAATGAGTACTACATTATTTCAACTTTGAGGTTTTGGGGGATTCATCGACTTCAGGTTGATATTCATCATAGACTGACCTCAGTTGGTGGTATAGTGGTATAAACGTGTGTCTCACTCCATTGAACACGAAGATAACATAATTGGATGACGTGTGGTAATTTTAGAGTAAATTATTTCAGCGCTTTTATTCTTGATGATCATTTTAAGGTGGATTTATGTTGTACAGTTGCGCAGTTTAACATATTTTTAGTTTTAGAAACAAAGATGAATGTGAGCAAAAATTTTCTAAAAAGTTTGGATTAAATACCGATGAAAATATGGATTTATAAAGCTAATAGACAGCTTTATTTGCCCATTCGAGAAAACTGTAGCTGGTGTGGTTCGTATATACGTTCTGACGGCGGCCTTCTTGGGCAACCAAATTTATCCACCGAACATTTTTTATCAAATTCTTTCCTTTCAATTTGTTTTAATCAATTAAATGTTTTTTGAACGTATCATGTATTCTTGCACATTTTTAAACTGTTTCCAACTCTCCGTTTCTCGAGTCAATAACAAAGCAGAGAAAAAAATGTTACTTTATGTGCAAGTGGACTTTTCGGTGCGAAAAAAAGCATCAAATTTCTATCCATCAGATGCTTAGCTTGAGTTACAGATTCTTATACCGTCTGAATAAACTACCACCTCCAAAATTACGCCTGCATTCCTGTTGATTCTTCATTATGGAACGGACGCTTATCAAGAACCAACTGGTTATTTTACATTATTGTCTTGAATACTGTTATTATTAACATCATTCCCATACAGTAACCGTTACGTCTGAAAGTATTGTTCTGTGAGTGAATTTATTGAAAAATTACACGCTCAGAATTCCATACTCTCATACATATTGTTTGGAATAAAGCGGTTATTATTATTATTATTAGACTGTAACATACTTAATTTAAATATGATTATAACTACAGAAAGCATCTAAAGAATTTGAGTGTAGTTTTAAAGCTTGAAGAGTATACATTGTAAACAAATGATTCCATGATGCGTAGAAGCATAACGGTTTTATAAAATAACTTTGATTTATACAACAGAAGAAGCACTACATACTTCATACATGCATATTTTAACAGTTAACAGCAAAGAGATAGATGAGAAATCTTTTAGACTAAGCAAACATTAGTAATAGATGTAAAAATGTCTCCAATTGAACAAGACATTACCTGGAATTCCACTTTCGTAAACGCTGAAGAAGATACATTTTGTCACACTATTCTTAAACAAATTATTCAAAGTTTTTTGCCTTTTATCATAGTTTACCTCCATCAATTTCATTTTTTTGTTTCTTGTTACAAGTTTTGGAAGTAAATGTTTTACTGTGAACTAAAATTTCTCCAATGGAACAAGATTTTTATAGTCTTTATATCATAATAATGATATGAATTTGCACCGACTTTTGTTTTTCATAACATGAGGCTTTGTTTGTACCACTAAGTTGAACATATATAAGCCTGAGAGTTTATAGCACTAGATTGGTTATTTTTATGAAAAGGATTTAGTTAAGTAGACTGTAAAATTAAAAAACCTAACAGTGAGTTGATACTACTGATCTTGGTGACTAACAGAGGAATGCAGGATGCGCGTTTCGTCTCATTTAGGACCCGTCACTTGGATGTACCTGCACTCCAATCAGTGATGTTGTTCTCGCTGAGGCTCAAATCCACCACCTTTCACTTCAAATGCCAGAGCGTTATCCACTAAACCACTGGGGCACGACAGATCAATATAACATCATGAGTATCCAGCAATATCGAAGCATCCACTTTGGAGCCCATCTGTCAACAAAGCTCAAGCAATTTGGCCCTGTATACCAATGGGAAATTATAAGTATTATAATAACAAATGATACCTATTGCACAAGAGGTGGCTATCATGCCCCAGTAGATTAGTGGATAACGCTCTGATGTTTGAAGTAAAGGGTAGTGGCTTCGAGCCTCAATAGGAACAACACAACTCACTGGAGTGCAAGTACATCCAGCTGACGTGTCCTAAACAGGACGAAAGGCGTACCCTGGATTTATCTGCTAGTCACCAAGATCAACATAATATCATGAATATCCAGCAGTATCGAGGCGTCAGAATGGAAACCCATCAATCAACAAAGCTCAAGCAATTCGGCACTCTATGGCAACGAAAAATTACAAGTATCATAACTGAGTTTACAACTTCACTTTCTAGATGGTTTATACTAACTTGCTAAGATTTAAACTTATACAGAGTTAGAACTTAATGTATGCGATGTTTACTTCATCTGGTACACAGAGAAAGTGCATCTTTGATCAAACCGTGCAACTAATCGTAACAATGATAATAATAAACTGAATTATAATCTATTATACCGCGAAATACAATTATACTTACTTACCTTTCCCACTGGCCAACCAATAAGTCATCAGTTGACCCGCACAATATGCCAAATTTCCAAATGTAAGATATGAAAGACTCTTTTTTGATGTTTCAAATCTGAATATATAGAATAGGATAAAACTGGCTAGTTAAAAACAAATAAGAAAGTCCATGCATCATCTATTTATAAACGACTAAGAAGCCACTAGCTAGATATGAATTAGTGACCTCATTAAATATGTGACTGAATGGAATAATGAGGAACCTGCGGCGATCGAAACTACTACACTTGTAAGCAGAAGAGAAAAAGACCAGCGAAGGAGTAAATATAAATTGAGAAAAAACATATAATGAATAAATAGTTATAAAATGTCAAGTTCACTTCTTATGGGAAGTTAGAGAGTGAAGAGACTTCCCTTAATGACGTTAGAATTTGAGCTGGCATTCATTTTCAGCATACAAACGTTATTATTTCCCGTAATACAAAAGTAAGTCAATGACAAAGCGTGTAGTTGAGTACATGGCTAAAAATGATAGCAGATAACCGGTTAGATTACGATAGTATGTTAGTTTGATCAGCTTCAGTCGTCAGATTAGTTTCAACGCTCTTTTAACTTTATTCAACATTACAAGTCAATTATTTCAATCGATAGAGGTTTATATCATCAATTTGTTCAATGTGATACAAAGTCATTTCTTAGTTGAAATAATCTTATGGTGTATACACTTACCTGTTACTTGTGATAAATATAACAGCAGCATAACACTCAGCAAGCCATTCTGGTAGAAGAAAACAATTTCTTATGTTATCAGTTAGTCGACCGGGTAAGTCTTCAGTACGGCGAGCAACACATGACAGATTATCAAACTGCCTTTTACAACTTCGTAACTGTAGTTCACATCTTTCTGCAATATCAGCTAATTCACGTCTAGATTTATTTGATAGTCTTCGACCGACAAGTTCACGTAGAAAACTCTCATCAAGAGAAAAGTATCTAAATAATGTGATATTGGGATATAATAAATACAGAAAAGTTACACACTGTTAAAGAATAACTTTCGGTTTATGAATGATAAATGTAAGGTAGATTTCCAGCTTATTCACATTGTTTTAACTTTTAAAGAACAACCTGTGGTTATAATCAGGTTAAATTGAACTAAATAACCTTTTTAATCTACTGCACTCAGCACAAAGAACAAGATACAGATTTCCAACACCAATGTCAGGTCAGTGCTGCTATGTGATGGTTCAGAAACGTGGCGTGTCACGAAAAGCACTTCCAACAGACTACAGACAATCATCAACAACTGCCTACGATCACTGGATACGGAAGATCAGATGGCCAGAATAATAAGAATAAGCAACAAGGAAATCTGGCTGGTGATGAACCAACCAAGAACCTATCACCCAACAAATATGCAGAAGAAAGTGGAGATGGATTGGATTGGACATACACTAGAAGGCCGACTGGGGACATCACGCACCAGGCCCTCGAGTGGAACCCGGAGGGGAAACGATGAGTTGGGAGTCCCATGGTGGCGTGGAGGAAATGATGTGAAGAAGAAATGAGAGCTTCTAGGTAGTCGTGGTGCCAGGCCCAAAAGACTGCAGAGAACAGAGTGAATGGAGGTGTGCTACTGAAGTCCTATATTCCAATAGGAACCCAAGAGAAAAAGAAAATTACCGTTTTTTGTGTTCCCCATAAATCGTATTGTAGTTCACTGGTTTCAGCACCAAACCTTTCTATCAGAACGATTAATATAACTAGGAATTTAATATGCTTCCGAAACACTGCAAAAAATTATTTCAGTGGTTTGGTTTGTGCATTACAACCAGCAAAAAATTTAAGCTGAGAATATTTCATATACTTGTTACCCAAGAATTGAATTTGAATATATATTATATATATATATATATATATATATATATATATATATATATATATATATATATATATATATATATATATATATAATACTCAGTCAGATCTAATAAAACAGAATTGATCAGCGACTTATTGTTTTGGAGTCTTTATCAGGAATGTATTAAACAGATTATTCGTTGATTTCATGATTTATGACCTGAGCAATCCAAATAGTTCAGTGATAACATCTCTGACAGCAGAGCTGGAGTTGAATCTCTCAAGGAACATCAAACCATCAATGTTGTAGACACACCATGTTGAGGAGTGTCAACAAACACGAAACCTAGTTGCAGAGCTTCCTACAGACTGCCTTCACCCATCTAACATCAAACATCATCTATAATATACAAAAAATCTAAAATAACTTTTTATTATAAAAGCCATCAGCGATTAAAACAGAGAATCAACTTACATATGAATTAGTTGTCTGCGAGTTTCTGGTGTAAGCTGATGGTATGCACAGTCCTTCATGAAAGAATCTGGATGCCGCAAACCCGTTTCTAAGAGTGTGAATTGTGCAAAGTGGTCCCTGGTATGCGCAGCCAACATATCATTTGTCATACGAAACTCCTCCACAGAAGGTGACTGTGCCAAAACTGAACACACCTGTGAAACTGACAGGTTGGTAGAATAATAAACAAGATTATATGCAATCAAAATCATTGTTTTTACGCTCACTATTTAGCCTGCAATTTGCCGTAAGCACTTTCAGAACCTACGATATACTACTATATTTTATTCTGAGAAAGTGATGGGAAGATATGCAGCTGATATACAAAAAAGAATATAAGTTATTGCATTTTATGGTTGTGTAGGAAATTTTTCTAGGTGACACAGTTAATATAATCAAAATAAGTGAAATGACCAGAACGCCGAAATGACTAAGTTAGTTTATGGATACTGGATGTATGTGCATAAAATTCCTAAAGAAATAGTAATTCACTATAAGAACAGTCAGTTGGAAGCAGTGATGAAACACTCAGTAATAAATATTTCAAATAGTATTAGGCAATCACTAACTTTTCGATATTGAATCTTATTCTGAATGAGACAATAGACCAACGTATTAAATAGAAGCATAAAGAACATTAATTAACCAGTAATTAACCTAAAAGGCGACTTCTAATAATGTCAGAAGATAAGTTTGTTTCATTTACTTTCCACCCACACAATCGCGATGGAAAGGATTAGATCTTGGAGGATAAATAATAACATAATTAGCAGTCTATATGTAAGCCAGTATGTTACGTCATGCTATGAACTGCATCTTATGTGTGAAGGTCCAAGAAGAAGTAGGTTAAGTGGATTGGAACCTTCCATCTAACCGTTATTAGTTAAGTGTACATGCCGCTGAGCAAACTTTTTAGAACATCGACTCATGTAACTAAAAGCAGCAATATGAGTCTTGATTCGTTTTGACAATTATAGCAGTTCAATGTGATTTAGCGACTTATTTTTATTGAGTGCGACAATTTCCTGCTAAAATCAAACCATACGCTATATGGAGTCCCACAGATTCAGAAAGTTGTATAAAAGCGATGATGACGCTAAAAACGTGAAAATTAACATGAGAAAGTAAACAATTATTCTTTATCTGAATGCCATGAAACTCCTAATCTGAAATCTAAACATAAGCCTAAAGACTTTCTAATCGTAAAGTCCAATACTTAATCGTGCATAGGTAAAAGATCACAAATAAATGTAGATATGTAGTTTGAAGTTTATAGGAATTTTATTCCAGTCTGTTTATTAGAAACATTACACAGTAAAACAGCAGCATTTACTGGATAACGTTTCAGACACAATTTATTGTCCATATTCATATCAGGTAACTCCACAACTTCGAGACAGTCTTTATATATTTCTAGTTTTCTCTCCTTCTCTATGATGACAAGGGTAGTAGAATTTTCCATGTATGTGGGACAGGTGCAGCATCATTTCGATTGCATGTGTTTGGTGTTGATTCGATAAACAAAGATTCGGTTATCAACCTCTCCCTCCACCCAACTAACGTAGTTCTCAACACTGTCACCCTATCCCACCCTACTGTGTGATTGTGTGTCATCGCATACAGAGCTATAGCCGAGTTTTTCTCTAAATTTCTTATCTTATTAGGATCTACTAATCCTGACTTAGCTAAGTTTTTGTGCTCTTTTATTCTAACCGACCCTGGTCGACTGCTTTGACATATGTACTTGACCTCGCAATCATTGCAAGGAATCTGGTAGACCAGATTATTTTGCTTAATTGCATCGATAGGATCTTTTAACCTACAAAGCTTGTTTCTAAGTGAGTTTGTTGGTTTGAATGCCACTTTAATCCCAGCCAGCCTTATTGAGAATTCTTCGTAGTGCTTCTGAGGTGCCTTCCTTGTATGGTAACACAGCAGAGGTTTTGAATTCTCTCTTAACCCTGTCGCCATTATTACCACTAGTAGTGGGATTATTATTGATAACATCTGTATTACTACTACTACCACTGCTAATATTTTTCTTTCGATTTCTTATGAATTTATTTATAAATTTTGGTGGGTAATTATTAAGACGTAGGGTATTCTTGATGTGTCTAATTTCTTGTCGCAGATTTCTCAACCTACTAGTAAGCTTTTTCGCTCTATCACTTAAGGATTTAATAAGGCCTACTTTAACTGAAATGGGGTGGGAGGATTCGAAGTCTAAGTAGCGATTAGAATGGGTAGTTTTTCTATAGACAATAGTCTCTAGATTTCCTTCTTGCCTCCGTGGAATCTTGCAATACATGGAGTCGAAGTGATTCTGCACCTGTCCCACATACATGGAAAATTCTACTACCCTTGTCATCATAGAGAAGGAGAGAAAACTAGAAATATATAAAGACTGTCTCGAAGTTGTGGAGTTACCTGATATGAATATGGACAATAAATTATGTCCGAAACGTTATCCAGTAAATGCTGCTGTTTTACTGTGTGATATTTCTAATAAACAGACTAAAATGGAATTATACTCGACCACAGTGCCCAAGTTTTACACTTATATCATGGGAATTTTATTTTTAAGGTTGTATTCATCACAGGTTGATATCATTCGAAGAACCATTGAAAACGTGTGAGCACTGGACAGCGGTTTCATTTTAGTATGTGTACTGCTGAGGAGTCTGATACTAGGTCACAACGGTTTTCCAGTGCTTCCAGATTTTCAATGAGTCCCCAAGTGATGTCATCCTGTGATGAACAGCCTTAAAAATATGAATATATCTTGCGCTTCAACCAGCATGCAGTATATCACAGATTGGTTCAGATAGGAAGTGACAAAATTCTGACGAAAAACTATTGAATAATCGCCACTGTATCTGTCAAGCATCTGAAGACTTTTATTTCGACCCAATAGGGAGTCTGAGACGTACACTTTTGAGGAGCTTTAAAGCAGAGCAAAACAGCTTTCCATTGTTGATAAGACTTAGTTATGAAAAAACTGTCTTCAAATTCTTATAGGCATCAGTACATTGAGATTAATTCGCTGAGGATATGTTCCCATGATGGTTTCGGAGCTGTGTATCATTGGTTTAGATTGCTCGATTTCAACCAGTAGGTCCCGAGTTTGAACATCGCTACACATACAGTGGTTTGGGTAACCAAGAAGTATCAGTAGACCTCACAAAATAGGTGTGGCCCATTGTCTAGTGCACAAATGCACACAAGGTTGGTGAGTGCGTTTCGATTTGATTTTAGACCTTGGTAGTTGTTGGTTCTGACTGACCTCCCCTGGGGAAGTTTTATGTCCACCAGGGTTTCCTCAACCTAGTGCAGGAATACTTACACACATGTAACCTACCATTTCTTCAAAATGTATGCGGAGTTGGGCATTTGTTAAGTTTCTGGTACATTAGTTATCAACCATTTGTGTTGATGGCATTACGCGTTTTGATGATTTTTATCGTGACAACGAATTAACATAGTAACAGCATTCATTCATTTCTGGTTGTGGAACTGCGTAGCCATACATCAAGAAGGTTTATAAAGACTTTTATATGGTAATTTAAACGTGAACTTTAATTCCTGTAACTTTTAGTAGTTTTATATATCTTAGATTAAACAGATCCATTGTCATCAATTTCCACTAATGTGATTGAGGAAGATGTATGAAAAGGTTAATTTTGTAATTGGAGCGAAGCTATGACTACACACAGAATTTAGAAAGTCATTGTATTTATTCGCAGTAATAAATTCTTTATTCGAATATTAGACATGGGAATTGTTTATTACCCTTATAGACTTCATAGCTATGTTCCATCAGCTTTCTTAAACATGTTTTATATCTACCTCTGAAAATGTATGTCTACCTCAACATAACGGTTAACTGTAGAGTACGTTGACAAACACACAGAAATCAATATAGGACCTAGCATTACTGCATAATTGTCCAAGTCGCTACACCTAATATCAGAAGTTCAAGGGAGAATGCTCTAATTTGATGGATAAAGAAATAAAGAATAAAGAGATCAAAAGTGGTAAATTAGAAAAGGGAGGAATGAGAAAATAATGAAGATTAAGATGAAGGTAATGTATAGACATATCTGTGCCACTAAGATCGATCCTGAGCCATATCACCTAGAGTCTTCAATCAATGGTTGCTGTTGTAATGCATACCCTAACCAAAAGTTTACTTTTCCTTACTCAGCTCAAACCAGACTAAAGTGGAACTGTGGCTGTGGTTTGGAGAGATGATTATCAACCAGCGGGTTACAAGTTCGAACCCCGTCCCACGTACTGACGTTTGTACAGTCACTACTCTTCAGATAATAAATGTGGCTCATTGCCTACTGCACGAATGTGCACAAGGTTGCTGATCAGATCGACAGTCAGAGACTTCAAGGACTGACAACACTTTTTAGTCCGGTTACCTTTTTCTAGCCCAAACCTACTTCAGCAAAACAATCGAATTGCGTGCCTTTTCTAGTACCGTTCGCCTAACGTAAGCATTGCTCACACGGTGAGTCCACCACATGCGAGCAATGCTACGGAGAAATCTGTGATCAAAACCCTATAACTACTTCACATCTACTTTTAAAGACCATTTCCCAAGGCCGTATAACAGGAGAGAACGAACAGTAGCGCAGTGTACTTGTCCTTTGATAGTTAGTCGGATGTCTCGCCGGTGCCACAGGCGATGCAAGTAGGCAAATGATAAACGGACGTTCTATATCCGAGCTGAGAATTCGTCAGCAACCAGTTCGTTCGGCTGGCTGGTGAAGTCAACAAAGTAAGTGGAGTGGTCGACACACACCACAACTTCACTTTCTATCCCTAAACTGGAGTACTTGCAGCTGACCAGTTCTGGGGAATTATCTTGCATTTGATAGGCACGAAATGCATGGCAACTGAACATACTCAGATTTCTGATCAACGCGTTCAGAGAACCCTGCATTTTGTCATCGTCTTCAACTAGCAGGACAATATCATCTGCATACCGCAAATCAACCACACGGCCTCTATGAAGCACATCGATCCCTATTAAGTCAGACGTGCCTAAGGTTATATCCATTACTACGTCTACAACGAAGTTAAATAGGAACGGTGGCAATGGGTAGCCCAAAATGATACTACTAGTTGTCGTCAATTCCCATGACAACTCAATAAGCCCTTAAACAGCTGAGTGAGTTCGAGCAAAGAGCTCTGATTAGCGTTATGTACTTGCTCGGTAATCCCTTCACAGTCAGACATTGCCACAACACCTCGCGATCGACAGAGTCAAATGTTGCCGCCTTCAGGTCAAGAAACATGGCAAGTGTCGGCCACTGGCTAGTAAGTATTCCTATGTTCCGGAATCCGTTGAAGAGTGAAAGTATGATTGACGCACTCTCGTCTAGGTCTGAAACCTATCAGGTTCTCTCGACTTTGCTGTTCTTGAGCCCCGGTTAGGCGTCAGATAACGGTCGATCCTAGAGTCTTGGACACAATACTGGTCAAACTAATTCCTATATGGTTATCACAGAAAGACTCCTCTCCTTCCTTACAGACTGGAATAAACAGATAAGTATACCAGTCTGGTGGCACTACATATAATTTTCACACACTACCTAGTACTTCCGTCCCTTTAATTAGCAGTTTCCTATTACCATATTCGGAAACGTCTGGTGGCGAACAATCAGATCCTGCTGCTTTGCATCGTTTCAGGTTACAAACAGCCTTCTCAACTTCAAGGAGAGTTGGAGGACCGGCGTCTACGTTCCATTTAGGTTCCAGGTGGCTGGATGTTGAGAAACTGAAGCGTCGCTGGGGGTCAGTTGAAGTGAGCTTCAAAGAGTAGTGCCCAACGTTTTGGGAGGTTATCAGCATCCCATGCTTTTCGGATACGCTTCACTCATCACCGTCTTCTTCTCTCAGATATCCCAAATAAGCCTAAATAGTTGATGAGTGTTACCCAACGCTGATGCCTTCTGCATCCCTTTCGATTTCATCACGCACCACTGTTTGTGGTCATCGCGAAGACTCACGGTCATTTTACGTTTAAGTTGCTTTCAATCTTTGTTGTGATCACAACCTGCTGGAATCAGTCTTTTCGCATCAATCAGTTCCGATGACGTCGTGGAAATCCAATGACATTGTCTAACCTTCGGATTTAGGTCACCGCTGCTTCTACAGCAGACTTAATACCACACCAGGTTTCCTCAAGATGGGCATTGCTACCATGTTCAGACAAATGTTTAGCTACTTGGTGTTCCCATCTTCCATTCAAGCATAGGTTTTACTGTCGCCTGTTTCCTGTGACCATTTAGGTGCACTCACACATACACTAACCCGTACTACCACGTGATCGCAATCCAAACTAGTACTCTAGAAAAAGCAGCGATCCCCCACTGATACTCTCCAAAGATGGTTTATAACAATGAGTTCATCGTTGATTTGATGTTGGCGGGCGTCATGTGAAAGTTCATCCCCTTAAGCTTAAAGTTAGTGCTGGCCAGAAACAATTAATTGGCGGAAAAAATTGCAGAGGACGATTACCGTTGTCGAATCGTTGGCACGGGACTCCATAAATACTCCTAAGATGCCTTTCCAATTGGCTGGCTCAGCTTACCTAAATGAGTATGAAAGTCACCTGCCATTATGATTACATATAAGTATTTTGCTGAATGCAGCAAAATTGACAGCTTTCCACTGAATTCATCCTTAGCATCATCCGAACTGCAGTCGGTAGCTGCTTAGGCGGAGGTTACGAATAGGCATCGACGAGTGTTATCGTCTTTCTTAGTTTTTACAGGCCCATTCAGTCGAACGGCTCTCGTGAACTCGCTGGTGTCAGCGTAGCATTGAGTTGTAGAGCAGAGAGGAAGCAGAGCAAGTGAAATACTATATGAGTGGCAACCTGTCACCAGTGGTGTTCCCCACTGCTCTTCCTTCTTTACGTTAGTGAAATACCAAAGAACCTCAGTAAATCATCGCCATTTGCTGACGAAGTCAAGATACAGAGGGCCACCCATAATGATGATGACAGTTCTGCACTCCAACCTAGTACTGGATGCACTTAACTAGTGACCCTGGAAATCAATCCCAACAAAAGTGCAGCAATGCTGTTTGGGCATAACTTTTCCGGCGGTCGCTTAATGAATGGTTATCTGGTACCTTGGGCAATGGAAAAAAAAGCGTTATCATAAGTCACTACTTAACGGAAACTGTTAACTGTAATGCCCTGGGAAAAAAAGCTTTTCGTATGCTTTCGTTGCTTCGTAGAGCATTCTAAATATTTTGATGAGGTACAGTGGTTAGTCGTTGGAGGATAACCAACTTCATGTTGTCTATTACTATGTGCTTATCGAATTGTATCGATTATTTTGCACCGTCATCACCAGGCTAGGGGACTCACGATCATGATGCACTTAAAATAGATGTTGGCTTGATGAAGGCAATCAGCAAGAAGTCCTGGACCAAGGTTTCGTACCTTTCAGTACTCGTCAGCAAGGCATATTTGCAACATCGTAGGAACTGATATCTGCCAGAGATGTGAACCCACGTCACCCGGTGTTGCAGTTTGAGACGTCACCATTGAACCATTCGGGTTGCGATGAGATGGCGTTTTGATCAGATGTTTAGGATCCTGCGCCCTACTTATGCAAGACTTCATTCAGAATACTGTATTCAGGCAGCCAGTGCATACTTCAAGAAGGCAGCTGATGCACTAGAAAGGAAAGAAGGGCTACCATTGATTCTGTAACAGGTTTTGGGCATCTTCCTCACGAAGAGCGATTAGTGAGGCTAATTATTTTCCACTTATCTTATCATGGCAAAAGGGACACCTGATTTAAACCTTTCACACTCTAAATGGTGACTTATGTATTCGTCCATCCAATTACTTTACCCCTTTTACAATGAAACATCTATGAAGATAACACAAAGTCCCAAGAGACGGTCGAATCATATTCAAGTCCAGTACCAATTCTACGCCAGAGTGAACAATGACTAGCGAACGATATCACAGAAGCAACAGCAGCGATCAGGGTGATAGCATTGAAGAAAAAAACAGGACACATATATATAAACACTTCAACGACTAACATCGCGAAAGATTATACATCAATTAACAATCAGGATGAGTTCATAAAAAAATTCAACATCAATAGTACAAGCAGAGGAAACACGCAGTTTCTGAGCTCTTATTTCTAGCTCTTTAGGCTCAGTTTCTTTGGTTCGGTGATACTTTCTCGGTGGTTGCAGAAACCTTTACAGTTTATCTGCTTATAGATTTGGAGGCAGTGATGGTCTGTTTGAAGGCTTTCCTATACAAACTGAAGCCTGGTTTGTTTGGGAAAGCAACTGTGCCCCTGATAAAGTCAATGAACCTTCCGCAATTCCTGTCTTTTTAGGGACCTGTAAATGAATATTAAGCGTTATTGGTTTCCAATTGTGCAAGTTTAGTGTGGGACGATATCGAAAACTTTGGCCAAGTGCAGAAAGATAACGTGGACTGGTTGCTTGTTCTCTCATCTATTAGTCCGGTTATCCTAAGCGATTATCAAGTTTTTGGCATATGACCGTTAAATTATAAATCCATGTTGGGTGCAACGATGTTGTTTCCGTTTGGGTAGTCCCAAACAACATCTAGAAACAGACTTACCAATACCTTGGATAGTATTGAAAGTAACACTACCGATCTGTAATTGCATAGAGTTTTTCAGTTTTCTCCCTTGAAAATTGGTGAAAGGATAACATGCTTCTATTCTTTCGGGAGTTTACTTACTTCCAACGAGTGCGTGAACTGATTGCATATGGGTACGCTTAGCACTTCGCACAACTCCACAGGACTGCTGGTCTTATGTCTTCCTTATTTTGAGTGTTGGAAGTTTTGCAAAAACACTTGGTTTGACGAAATCCTTACGTTCATCAGCTTTGGATCGCAGTTCTGGAACTTCATGACATTACTGGATATTGGTGGAGTATGCATTGTTGTGTTGAGCTGCTCGTCAAATCGGCTACTGAACACTTTTTCTATCTATCTGATACTCAAGGGTTCTCCGTTAGTTCCTATAATAAGGATTAAACTTATTCGTCACAACGAAATTTCCAATCCAATATCCAATATTGATAGTGCGAGCGTAGAAAACTGGTAGTTTTTGATCTCTCGCGTCTAGTTCTTGGGGCTTGGCCCGAGTTGTTCGGTTCACTCCTGCAGTAGACGAGGAAATCCCTTTTGCTTTCTTGCTTTTAGCTTCGGTGAGGTGGAAGTTCGCTTCTCATGCCTCTATTTTTCTTTTTCTCACCCGATATGCAGATTATGATGGCGGATCATACCAACACACTTAGCATCAATATACACTTTGAACTTCTATTCAGCAAGTGAGAACTATCACCTATATCACCTATACATGCAAAATCACTAGGAGCTAGACAGTTCATCTCAGACAATAACATCCCGTAATTTCATAGCTCCAATTGGGAGAACAACTAAAGATGCTGGTGTTAAATGCCATTTGCATTCGAATATGCAAGTTCTTCCACTCCTGAAAACCACTCATATGGAAACAAAGCTAACCGAGAGTAACCTCGTATGATGCGCCGACCTTGAAGTCTTATTTCGTCGTGACATTAAGTGATGTAGGCTTCTTGGGTCATAGCTTAGTTATTTGGCCAGGTTACTCTAGCATTTTCACTTGTTATTACCGAAACTTATATTAAGTAGGTTGCGTAACGTCTTGTAGCTAAGAAATTCTGACTCCATATGTAATGTGCATCACTTATACCATGCAAACTTCTTCCTCATCAGAAAGATTTTACTTTCGATAACTGCTTAATATGACATTCACTTACTCGTTTTACCGTGAACCCAGAACTCAAACATCTCCATATCAACAAAGCTTGGGCTAGTGACAGTAACATCAGCCAGGCAGGAAAATTGCATCAACCTTGATTTTAAAACGGTGCTCAAGGTCTCTTTCCAAATGGTTCAGGCGGTTCAAATGGTTGTTGACGGAATAGAAGCTTGCGCTTAACTGGCTTCCGCATCTACAATCCTTGGATCACTACTCCTTTTGGTTGTTAACCTGTTGTACAAGTAAAGAAAGCTGAAAAAGTGGCGATTAAAATGTGAAAATTCACTTAGTTCTGGGCAGGTCCCTGACACACATCAAGTGGGTATCCAGTCAGCGTTTAAAAGATTCATAAGAAGTAGTCTAAATAAAATCTTCAGGAAGAGCGTTCCAGGGTTCAACAGCTCTTACAAAACAATGAGTAGCCCAAGTCACCCAAACAGAGGAGTCCTACCGAGTGGCCACTACGGAGATCCTCGAGGAAACCCTTACAGAATAGCACACCAGAGGTCAAAAACGCATATTCGTTCACACTTCTTCTCCCTCCGAGTCTGTGGGTACTGGAACGTACTACCAGCAGAGGTGGTCTCCGCCCCAACTGTCGAAAGCTTCAAGAAGAGGCTAGACAGTCATGCAGAGACTCACGGTCTACCCACGCATAGCTGGAACACGAAATGATGTCAAGCCACCCCAACCAGCTTTCTTTCTGTTGTAACCATTTAAGCCCTTTTCACCCCTTCCCACTTGCTATAAGTTGGCCTCACTTACCTAAGTTCTTCATACCTTTGCACCCCTACTCCCCTTACTTGAGTGTAAGCAGATTACTCCATTAGTTCACTTTTCCTCTTTTCTTTTACTCACACAAACACTTTCTAGGTTCTCTCTTCACTATCCCCGACCCTCTCTAGCGACCAGTCCTAACAACCGTCTGGCAACTCGACATCTGAAGAATCCAACTGCACCACAGTCCAAGGCAAACAAACCAGCACTTAACTTCCTGTTCTGTAAATCAGAGCGATAGTAGACGAGTGGCTGGACCTACTGCATCGGAATCCGCCAAAGATCTGGAGTCGTTCCGCAAGATCGAGAGGCCAGTGCGAAGAAATCGGTTGGTTTACATAAGCTTGTTAAAAAGATATTGGATATTAGACATTAGGGAATAGAAGTTGTGCCTGACATCCAGCCTGCTATGTTCCAGGCTTAGTTTCTGTGCATATCCTCTAAGATTAGCGTTGCAGCTAAGATTTGATGAGTGACGGAGTGGGTGACCAGGCGTGCTCAGAACGTTGTAAGTCATTATCAAGTCTCCTCCTAGCCTTCTGTATTTCAGAGGATACAGATCCAGCGCAACCAGCCACTCACCGTATGTTTTGGACCCGAATCCTTGAACAGATTTTGTCGAACGCCTGTGGATGCCTTCTAAGCTTAGTTTGTCCTTCTGGAGATAAAGGGGGGGGAGATGATGGTCCCGAACCCCAGGTGAGGCCGTATGAAGCTGTTTAAAATTTGGTGGAAGCATCCATGATCGAAATGTCCAGAAATTCGTCTAGGAGTTACTAACGTCAAGTTTCCACGAAATGTGTTTCTGCCACAGTTGGAATAGGATTTAAATTCTTGATGGACAAAGACGCTTAAATTCTTCCCTGCTGGTGACCGTTCCAGTTCCATACCGTTGAGGCTACTGACGTGATATAAATCGTGTTTTACGCGTATCACCCTGCATTCCTCTGGATTAACTGCCAGCCCGTTGTTGACTGCCCAGCTGTGGAGTTGAATAAAGTCCTCCTCGCTTTTGATTTCTCTCCATAGTTTCATGTCATCAGCAAGAAGAAGGATTTCGGAAGAAACCTGCTGAGGCAAGTTGTTTATGTATACTAGAAAAAGGAGAGGCCCTAGTGCTGATCCTTGGGGAACGCCTCCAGGACATTCTGTTTCTTCGAAACAGAGCAACTCATTCGAACTCTTAATGAACGGCTTCGTTGATATGAAGACAACTAGTCAATGAGCATGGGTGGAATCCCGATTAGTTCCAATTCATCTATAAGGCAGTCGTGATTCACGCCATCAAATGCCCTATCAAAGTCCAGTTAGGTAGCACCAATTCGTCCTCGACGGTCAGCAATCCTAGCCCATCTATCTACTACAGTGAGCGAGTTGGTAATGCAGAGGTATCCTTTTCAAAATTCATGTTGTTGGGGATCAAAGAAATTTATCTTTGCGAAATAATCCCCCAGTCAAACGTATGTTGATAACTCCATTACTTTGGAAGGAATGGACGGAGGTGCCGCCGGTCTGTATTTCTTAGGATTGCCCCATTGGCCCTCTTTGAGGGCTGACGCTATGTGGTCCAGCTTCTGAGGTTCGGGCATCATTCTCAGACTCAGAGAACTTTTAATAGCTTACTTAAAGGACCGGACAAGACTGACGCTCCTGCATGCAGCACCGCTGGACGGATTTTATCTGGCCTGGGAGAGGCGTTTTTATTGAGCCATGGCAGTTTGCGCTGTACTAGCACAATGCTTAGGTCAACGACCGAGAGTCCTACTTCGCCAATGGGATATTCGTAAGCTTCTGAGTAGGTGGGTGATGACGAAAATATTTGCAGGTACTGGTCGGCCAAGAGCTCAACTGCTTAGGTGTCGCTGTTGGTCGGTCCGTTCTTACTCAGTAGTTGAGAGACTCCCGCTTTAGCCTGCCGGAGTGAACGAGCCTAGCGGAAGAGATTTCCTGAGTCGGAAACAAACATGTTGCGAGCCTGACTTGGTGCTGCTGATGATCGGCTCTCATAGCCTTTGTAGATATGTTTCTTGTCTGTTTGAATCGTATGTAAGCATATTCGGTACCGATCCCTGTGTGTTCAGCCCAGTGGTGTCGCTTTAACTTAAGTACTTTCCGAATTTGGTTCCCTATCACTTTAAGCAACTTGAAGCGCTTCGGTCTCGAAAATGGAATAGGGTGACTGATCGCATGCATGACCTTGTCAAGTATAGATCTCCAATGGGCGTTCATATCTTGTCATACATGGTTAGCTTCCCAATCTGTCTGTTCCAGTGCAGTTAGAAGAGCAGGAGCACTAAGTTTTCTGAAGTTCCAGCAACGTTCATTAAGAGGTCTGGTTCGATTGATTTCGTGAACAAGCTGGAAGCGGATAGCAACGTGTCCAAAAGACGAGGGATTTCTAAGTTGTTTAATTGGGGATTCTTCATTTGTGAAAATGCAGTCTGAGCGAGATGGGATCTGAGTCACCCTCACTCACGTTACCGCTCTCACATTTTCCGTAAGCCCCTGCTCCACAACCAATGGGATCGCCACCCCGCCAAACGTGTTACTTGCAAACTCGACCTTCGGTAGGTTGAAGTCGCCCAAAGTTAGTACGTGTATGTGCTCCAGCTTAAGAGAGTAACTGTTTGCCCTTAGCATCTGGTCGTCTTGCTGTAAGTCAGCGGATGGTTTCCTATTAGCGATTCTCACCAACCACTTTATAGTCTTGGACAGCTTTACGGTGCACCAACTGAGCTCTCCGAGGCATTCCAGTTCTTGAATATGGATTTGGTTGACTGAGAGAGAGGAGCTGGTGTAAAATGCTATTCCCCTACCAGCCATCCTGTCATTGCGGAACGGTATGGTATTAGCAATTGCCAGCTCCTGGTTTGACATGTCAGGAGAAACCTGCCTCGGTAACAGTGATAAGGTGAGCGTAAGTGTCCTAACTTGGTTCCGCAGCTCGCCTAGTTCGTTTGGTAAACTTTGTGCATTTGAATAGATGCAAACTATACTATCTATTTGGAGTCCTATGCCTGCACCCTCTCTATTTTCCATTAGGCAAGCTTAATCTTCAGGCGTGGGGCTGAGAATATGCCCAGGTGCTGCCTACCAGTGTGGTTTTCCCCGACCCTTCCCCGTTTTGAACAGAAACACCACCAATATCCGGTATTCATCGTGCCAGCGTAGAAAACTGATAATTTTTGGTCTCTCACGTCCAGACTTTAGTGCGTGTTTCGAGTTGTTCGGTTTGCCCCTGCAATGGACGAAGAAATCCATCCTGCTTTCTTGCTTCTAGCCTCGGCGAGGTGGATGTTTTGTTGTTTAGTAAAATACAATTTGTATAATTGTTGGGGAGCTTCTAGTTGCCTGGGAGACTAGGGGGTTTGTTATGACTACCGTCCCCGTAGGTGCCTGAAGAGGAATAGTAAGATGGTGAGACAAATAGTATGTGGGAATAACCCGAAAAGTAAAAGTGGACGGCATACGTCTGGTCTCCTGAGCAGGGTTGGTAGATAATGTAGGCGCATTAAGAAGAGAGCTAGTGCGTGGTAGGTTGGAGGGAAGTGGAGGTGAGCTAGTGAGGCCAGCGACCCGCCGAGCATATCTGTGGTAAACCATGCAAAGTGGCACAACTGTCTAACCTTCTCTTGAACGAGTCAACCGAGGGGGCCACAACGATATCCACAGCAGGGCATTCCATAAAGAATACTCTCTGATTGAGCAGACGTTGGACCTGAGCGTAGCGTGGGCTCTCCGATGTGCTATCCCGAATCGGTTTCTATGTGATGACCGCCATGTTGCAGGCAAGGCTAATTCGCCTGCGCGGTTCGCCTGACGGATGATTTTGTAGGCCATGATAGGATCGTCCTCTTTCTGGGATAACCCAAGGTGTGTGTTTAGGTGTTTTAGCCTTTCAAGGCATGCTTTCCCCCTCAGCCCCACGGCTGATTTTGCTGCAGGTCTCTGCATTTTCCACAACAATGCAATATCCAATAGCATTCAACATCAACAACGCGAGTAGAGGAACACTCGAAGTTTTTGAGCTTTCATTTCTAGCTCCCCAGGCTCGGTTTGTTTGACCAGGTTATACTCTTTCGGTGGTTGCAGTTTACCCGCTTAGGAGAGTCGCTTGTAATGATATGAGGAAGAGATGAGTCTTGTTGAGAACACTAGTGTTGTGTATTATTGTAACCGACAAGCACGCCTTCAGTTGCTGCTGGCGAGTGTTCATGGTGAGCCGTTGGCGCTAATGCACCTACCGAGAAGTCCGTTGAAAGAGTTATCTGGTACAGCTACGCCTACTTCCTTCTGCAGAGCGTTCCATTGG